AGAGGATAAATTAACGCGAGCGAAGCCGCGGGCAAAAGCTAGTAATTCAATAAAATAAATAGAATTCATTGAATTATTTGACAATGGAACTACACCACTCGGTTGCAGAAATGAATTAATTTTGATAAACGTTCTAGATAAACTATCAAATCGTCCGAGTGACCTTTATCCCAATTGTCTGGTGTCAGCGAATAGATGTCCAACCATCTTCCTTGTGGCTCTAGCTGATGGTTCAACATTATATAATATAAGATAATAATTTTACAGCCTCGGTGGTCCAGAGATTTATCACACCGTTTATGGCCGCAAGTTCGATTCCTCGCACCGTGTAAGAAGTCGAACTTGCGATATATGTATTCATGAGAATTTGTTTGTATTGATCTGGATGTTTCCTATGTTCATTATATATGTATTTACAGGAAAAATGTGTGTCTAAGTACATCTAGTACTCACAATACAAGCTCTGTTTAGCTTGGCTTTTTGATTTCTATTCGGTGCCTACATCATAGTTATATATATAACATATACATCAGTTTCTTTTTTAAGTTGCATGTACAGTTATTTAGACGTATCTCTTATTTTTATTTCATACTAGCTACTCGCCCCGACTTCGCACGGGTGTACATGTATTATACATATAAACATTCCTCTAGAATCACTCTATGTATTTAAAAAAACAGCATCAAAATCCGTTGCGTAGTTTTAAAGATTTTTAAACGCAGTTTGTTTTTCATAGATATAGTGATTCTAGAGGAAGATTTATATACACTATATAATATATGTACACCCGTGCGAAGACGGTAATCAGTAATATAGTAAACGCGAAAGTTTGTGAATACGGATCTTTGTTCTTTCACGCAAAAACTACTGAACGAATTTTGATGAAACTTGACAGTAACATAGCTTATGCATCAGAATAACGTATAGGCTATATTTTTGATTGAAATTTAACGCGGGTGAAACCGTGGCCATTGCTAGTATATAATAAATATTGAAAAAGATCTGAGTACATCTATATCAGCTATTTCAGCTGAAACAGCTTGCTTAGCTTACGTCGTTTGGCTAAAGTTAGTAATTCGTTTTATGGCAATTGCGTAAGGTTTTACAATAAAATACCAGAGTCTGTTATAAATCTGCCAGAAAAAAGATTTAAATGTCAAATAAAACACTTCCTTTGCAAAAATGCTTACTATAAAACTGAAGAATTCGTTAACGATAATAATGTTTTTGTAGAAAAATTTTAAATACATAGCACTGACAATATTATCTGACACTAATAATGAGTGCGTAGCGATTTCTATGTTGATTGTCGCATACCTCTTACTTGTTACACTGTAATTATTTATATAAAAAAAACATCTATTAAAAAGAGCAACACACAAGTTTCTTGCTCATTCTTCTTGTGATGAATCTGCATTCCGAATGAGCGGTAGAATCAAAATATGACTATTCAAAAGTGCTTGTAATGAGTTTATTTGAATAAAGATTATTTCTATTTCTATTTCTTAGCTAAAAACATGATAGGTGTTTATAAGCATACATAGCAACAGCGACTTTATTTTATACTATGTCATGATGATAATAAGAGTCACGGGATATTGGCTGTAGAAGAATTTGTTAATATTGTTACTTAAATATTAATTAATAGGAAGAACTACGAGAAGAGAACAGAAGACGCGGCGGTAGACTACAAAGGCAAGGTTTAGAATTGGTCACAAGCCGATGCAGCTCCATTTTCCGGCTGCACAATTCAGTTGAGAAGAACTGGCAAAAACTCAGTGTTTTTTTTTGTTACAATATGTACTGTTTGCGTATGTTTTGTATGTACTAACATATGTACACATATATAAAATTGGAGTGTCGGTTTGTAATATTGAAATAACCATATAATATTTTTAATACATTCATATGAATGTAAATACGGTACATACACCAAAATTGCATTTTTGTCTATCTGTCTGTTTGTTCCGGTTATTCTCTGAAATGGCTGAACCGATTTTGACGGGACTTTTATTGGCTTGAAGCTGATGTAATAAAGAGTAACTTAGGCTACTTTTATTTTAGAAAATGTCTTTAACTTTAGAAAAATAAAGTTCGCAGTTCGAGGACGAAGTTGCGGGTACAGATCGTCTGATATATAACTCATATCGTCGGTTAAATAGAAAAATGGCAGTATTCAAAGTGTATATTATTACAAGACAAGCTATTAAAGTTTTTAAATTATTATATTCTTTAATTTTCCTTTAAAGTTTTAACAAAAATTTACATAGAAGTAATATATATCATTTTAAAAGTATTTATATAATGATTAAGACGGCGTGGTTAATTTAATTGACTTATATAAAATAAGGCAATTCTAGCTTCTAATTTTGAAAAATGTCATTTTTTTATTTACTTCCACTAATGTTCTGCCAGCATGTAAGGTCAAAATTTTATTGTTGACGTCATAAATGTTGTTTTGAAAAATCTTAAGCAAACCCAAAGGTATTTTTTTATAAACATTTTTTATCATTATAATAATAGTATTACATACAAAGCAGATACAGACCGGTTTTTTCCAATATTACTTGTATAAAAATTAATTACATAAGGCTGCGTTCACACCGAACGTATAAACAGTACCCGACTATGGATCTCATGACTAGGACACTGACAAATATGAGCCTCAGAGTGACGGTTAAATCAGGTACTGGGACTTCAGAACGCACAGATCAATTATACAAAAAAAAAACCGCCGCGGGGTATAAAGGTGTAAAATTTAATAACTTAGCATATTGGAATGATATGGAAGTATCTCCTTGCAGTAGTATTTTCGATCTCAAATACGGTAGTCGGCGACTGACTGCGTTTGGTGTGAACACAGCCTAATACCGGCACTGATAAATGACCTATATAACAAATTTATTTTTAAATACCTACCAAATATTTTAATGGCCTTTACTAAACTAGTAAATTCTTTGTTTTCATAGTCAGCGCGTCAGTGCTAAAGAGGGTAATGTTATTCATAAGATACAAGCAGACTTATAATATTTTGCATTTATATTAGACTTTATAATGATTTTTTTTTTAATATTTTCATTGTTATTGATAATAAGTATTCAAAATCGATCCAGACATTATTCCTACAGGATTTAGATTTTATGTAAAACCAAAAATAACTATTGTGCATATATTTTTTCTTCAGACTTTTCTATTGATCTGTAATAATGCAATATACATATCTTATAGCTACTGAATACAAAAGAGAGGATAATAAAATGGAAACTGGTGACAAAAAGCCTTCTTTCTCCTTATTTTGAAATTAAAGTTACTCCTTTAAGATAATACTGCCACATTTGATTCAAATTAACGAAAATAAAAGATATAAATTTCAGATATGCTTGCAGAGAATATACAGTATTTGATCATCATCATCACCATAAGAACCAAATTTGGACTACATTAATGAGAATAGTAAAAGATTTTTCCAGATGTAGACTCAATATTATAAGCAAAGAATATTTGTCACCCAGCCACCAAGAAGTTTGCAGAATAAGCAGTAGATTAAAAAATATATGTAAGAACATTCAAAAGTTCTTATATTTAAGTTTATTTTTGCTTTTTAGTTTTATTTTGCAATTATTCTCTAAAATTACATGATAACACGCCTAATATCATTGTCGTCTGGATTGGCAATGCATGAGTGGTATTACGGGGGTCACATGGTAAAGTAACATCCATTGTATTTATGTATAGTCAACAGTTACCACTTAACATCAGTGCCGTTACCTAGCTTACCATTTCAAGTACATAATATACAATAAATACTATTAATTTACAATGGTAAATTATAATATTATATGAAAATGCAATGGCATTTTCATAAAATATTATTATTTAAGATATTTAATATAATATTTGCTGGTATTTTAATTTAATTCCTTCATTATTTAATAATGATGTATAATATTAATGAATTCAAAATATACTTTCTTATTGGAATAGGTAAGAAATTTTCAAAGAATATATGTATTTGGTTTCTTCTTAAAAAAATACCAATTCCAATAGGAACTTTCTGAATTTGCTAACAAAAATCTTGTATACTAATGTTAGTGATACATTTTATTATGTTATTCTTATTTATTTTTCTACAACCTCTGTTATGTTTGTGACTAGATGTCACTGTATGAATTGTTCTCAGTTATTGTTAATTACTAGTATCAGTTTTCTATTATTTTTTATAATCATAATATGTTTATTTTCAAATTAATTAGCATTAAATTGATTAATGAAACAAACAAATAACTGCTGAATTGGTGTGACTTAACAAACAAACAAAGTAATATCCTAATCTACAAGATTAGACAGATTACATGTCTTATAGAAGTCTGTATGTAATAAATAACAAATATAATGTAGGTAAGCATTACTACTTGCAACCAGCATTGTCATTTTAATTTATTTACACAATTATTAATATTATTACTATGTGAATTATAAATCTGTTACATAATTATAAATTGAATTATAAACTGATACTAAAAATATATGATAAATAAGTTTAGTTTTCTTTTATTTATCCCTATAAGAAAAGCAAAGAGTCTAAGCCCATCCAGCCAATTTTTTCTTGCACACAATTTTTTTTCAGGTATATGTCAAATTTTATTATTTTTATTAAATTATTATACAGGTATATAATAATTACTCTATTAGAGAAATATAATTGAATATCATTAGTATACTCTATGGCTACCCCATAAGGAATATGGTATATTCATACCATATTCCATATGGGTTCCTATACTTAGAATATTAAATAAGTTGACAAATTATTTACTTATTTGCATAGACAATTAATTTCATTAAATTAAATCACGTGCACAATCACTATACAAACAAATCGTTAGCACACAAGAGTTACATGACCGGGTAACGGAAAACAAGGAAACCGGTACCCTGTCTGCACCGTAGCGAAATTTTCTAGAAGAATGAAAGTGTGCGAAGAAATTGCAAACACTCACCAATGTATTCTGGTATCCCAAACCGGACTCATCGTCAGATGTTTCTTCTTTTCCCTGCACATCCTTCATCTTAGACGCAACAATTTCTCCGCGTCAACACAGAAAACAAAACAAAATTTAATCAAAACAATTCACAAAGATTGCGCGCGGGCCAACTTTTTTTAAAATAAAAGACAATGATCACTGTGTCCTGTCGTGGTCACACATATCCCCGTTGCTCATAAATGGACCCAACGACTGTAATAAAATAATATGCAATTGAATAAACGCGATTTCATGCAAATTGCTCGTATACCGCCGGATATATTTACACACGTTCAAATAGTCGTTCATGCAATGACCGACTGACTGACGTGACATTTCGAATTGGACTTCGGAACATATTGACAGAAGGTGACAGCTAGTACGGGACACTGAGTCGTTTACGTTCAAACTCGTTCTACGTCCATGAACTTGAATATAATCCTTTTTTTATTTCCATCAAACAACCTATAATTACTATTTAATTATCATTACAACAGCAATAAAACTTATTGATTTTTTGTTAGTTTATCTCTTATTTCTTATTTGTAGCGTTCACTTATATATATTTAAACGAATACGTGTGTAAGTAAAATGTTCTGAACGCAACTAAAACAGAAAGTTGGTTGTATTTTTTTATCATCGTTCCGTTGTGTACTGATAATTATGATTTATTTAAGTACAGGTAGGAAGAGATAAGGAATAGACTGACATAACTATTTGCAGTCTGGTAGTGTTCTGAATATTATTAGATACTTACTGGATATAAATGTTAGTCCATCCTACTGCATTTGATCTTCGGGGAGATTGTGGAAAGTTTGTTTGAAAGGTCACCCCCGTGACCTTATGTTATATTGCTATATTGTTCAAGTTTGAAAGGTTATATACGCAATTTTAACAAAACGTTTACACGAAACAAGGGTCCTAATGAGTGTCGGAAATTTTCGCGTATCATCCGACAGACCATATGCTTGGTAATAATCTAGTAACCTGATTTGGTACATCAGTTTCATGAGTGCTTTACCAGACTTTCAGATTGATATACCCTATTTTTTTATTGAGAGTTTTGAGCTACTGGCTGGTGTTAAGATCTGTAACTCTGTGATCTGCATAGATCTATTGTACTTGTAATATACCCTAATTTTGTATATATAACTAACAAACGTAATGTTATACTTACAACAATTCTGTTAAGAAGATAGTACCTTTATTTCAGTGACTAGTTCTTTACTTAGTCTACTGTTTTCTTTTTCGAGATAAAGGTAGTGATTCAATCCGACTTCGCCTAAAATGTTTCTTTAAGATCCATTTAGTCGTGAATATGTGATAAACATAAACAGACAGACTTTCGATTTTATAATAGTATGGATTGTATAGATATTATTGTAGATTTTTTTCATATGATTCGTTTCATCACAAAAAACATTTAGACAGCATACGTAGTCAAGTCAATAGGCAAGTAATTACGAAATCATAATTATAATAGCTACTAATTATACAGAATGCGCCTTGAAAAAAAATAATAGGCAACCATAGAAAAAATATTACACCTACGAGACTTACCATAGTCACGTTTTTATATTCTTTTCTATGATATGATAACAGTACTGTTACATACTAAAATCACGTTTCTTTTCTACACTTTGCATTTGGCAAATGCACTTTATGCCTAAGCCACCAAAAGAAAAAAAAGTATATCTCAAATATATTCGGCATTAAAAATACATACAACCCTACATTTTCATCCTTCTACTATCACCCCTATTTTTAATAGTTAGTTATGTATAAAAATGTGCATAGTGTTTGCAACAATTAATAGGGACCGATACTTAAATCGTAGGGATTTTTTTAAATAAAATACAATTAATATATTTTACTCCAATCCAATACAAATAAGAGGATTGTTAGTAATGTGGATTGATGACCCCATTACTAGGAAGGTACCATGTCACGTTGACCTCCACATGGTTCCTCCTGGAAAGCATCGCGATAAGTTCCTGGTGAATTTCTCACGGTGGGCAATTGACCTGATCTCATCCTCATCCTAACATCCTGCACTGGTGCCCCACCAGTGTAAGCCGTTACTACACAGTGCATGATGCCATTTTTATCCATTAAAAAAAATACAAATAAGAACCAAATCTGTACCCTTCATAAGAGGGGGGGAAGGGGATTGTTAGTAATGTGGATTGATAACCCCATTGCTAGCAATGTATCATGTCAGGTCGACCTCCACGCGGTTCCCCCTGGAAACCATCGTGTTAAATTCCTGGTGAATTTGCACGATGGGCTAACTGACCTGACCTCATGCTCATCCTATCATCCTCCACTGGTGCCCCGCCAGCGTAAACCGTTAGCGCAGGCGGGTGCACCATTCCATTATCAACCCTAAAAAAAAAAAAAAACCCTTCATAAGAGCGTTATTTTAAATATTAAAACAAGAGATATTCAATCCATTCATATGTAGATGCTGTTTGAATGTATTGTTCGGATTAGTCATGCAATTGTGGACAGTAATCACTGCTTTTGTTTAAATATATCCGCCATGAAATATCCAATAGAAATAGAAATAATCGTTATTCAAATAAACTTAATACAAGCACTTTTGAATGGTCATATAATGCAGAGGCTATAAATAGTCTAGTATCTAGATTTCTGATTGAGAATTCCGCAAGAAATAAAGATAGAAATAATCTTTACTCAAATAAAGCACTTTTAAATAGTTTTTTTTTTAACCTACCACTCATTTGGATCTATGCTCGCATCGAATAGGGCTATGCTCGGAGTTTCTCTGCGTGATCGAATCAGAAATGAGGAGATCCGCAGAAGAGTGACTGACATAGCCCGAAGAATTGCAAAACTGAAGTGGCAATGGGCAGGGCATAGTTCGTAGGACAGATGGCCGTTGAGGCAGTAAAGTCCTCGAGTAGCGACCGCGGACCGGAAGACGCAGCGTGGGAAGACCTCCAGCAAGGTGGACCGATGATCTGGTCAAGATCGCTGGAAGGCATTGGATGCGAGCAGCGCAGGGACCGGGGAGGCCTTTGTTCAGCAGTGGACGTCTTCCTGGCTGAGATAATGATGACTCATTCGCAACGCAGACTCATCACAAGAAGAACGAGCAAAAACTTGCGTGTTCCTTTTTTAAATAACTGCTGCTAGTGGCCTGTATCAAAGAAAAATTGATTGATTGATTTTTTTTTATAATTGCTAACGTCAAATAGCAACCGTAGTTTATAAACAGGACTACAGACATCTCGTTATCATGTGACGCTCGTGATACCACTCATGTGTTGCCATTTAATACTAAAATCAGGGCCTTCTTTCACCTAATAGAGGTCCTGGGCACATTAGGATAATGGGGCCCATATGACCATAAAGCACTATTTTGTTTGAATGGACAAAGCCATTTTTGAACATGACTCTTTATATATGGGGATAACCTACCTTCAAAACAAACAAACAAGGCAAAAATAATTTTCAAAACCATTATGTGATGATAGGTTCTAGTTGTTACTAGACAATTATAAAAAAAATAACAAAAAATAACAAATTGATCATAGTCGGTAAGCATTTGTTAAGCCTGAATTTCAGGCGAGAGCAGAGTAGCTGTCGGTTATCATTTGGCATTTGGCTTTACAGCTTCACCGCACTCCAAACCCGCGGAAGGACTTATGGAGCGGCTGAAGGCCAACTCCCGCCTGACGGATACGACTTTAGTCTAAGGGCAATCTGGTGGTGCCCTCAGACGTAACCCGATGTCGTAACCCGGTGTCGTAACATCGGTCCCCGTTTGGTCATCACCTGTATCAAAGATTGAAATAAACAATTTATTCATCTATCTACTGAGTTACATAATGCCCCTGCAGCCAGCGAGTGTTAACCTCCTGGTAGTATTCAAGGTCAGTTCTAAACGTACCTCACAAACATTTTCGTAACTATCTCCGCATCGTCTATTTTATAGAAAAAAGCCTTGAACTTGACCGCACCATTAAGGTACCATGCATACGCGCCACTTTTAGTCGCGGTTATAGGTAATTTAGTCGCTCAATGGTGCTGGCTGTGTATATCTAAACAATAGATCAAATATGTACATTTTTCATGATCTCAACGAGGTGCGTGGATGTGATCGTGATAACCAATTAGTAAAAGAAAACACCAAAATAAAATTATATATTTTTATAATAATTTCAAAAAATCTGTGATGTAACAGAAGTAGAGAATAGAAACAAAAGACGATCATAACCATGAGAACACAGTGTTCTGTTTAAAAATAATGAAATAAATTTTTTAACAATTATTTTTGTTGAAGTTCCCACACACGTGTTACCTTTTTACACGTCATTTCTAGCCTCACGCTCTAGTGATTGATTCTGTGATATTAGTGTCAATCACAATATACCTAATAATCAACATTAACTACCTATAAACAAGATGATTTATAGACAATTAGGCAACGATTAAGTAGGTATTTTTATGTGATTATATAGCGAAAGAAGTTTTTATGATGAATTGGAAAAGAAGTAGTATTCTCTAGAAATCATTATTTCTCTTTAACAAATTCTCACACAATAAGCAAAGCAATAAAGTAGTCTCAATCAACCACAGACTTTTCCATAAACAAGATATAGAGATCAGAGTATTAATGATGTGTTCTCATTGTGATGGTAAACCATAAGTCAATTTTATACTGCGACTTAATTATCAAAAGTTTTCAAAGTTTCGTTGACCGCAGTTACAAAGGCGACGATTACGGTTTACCATCAGGTAGGTCGTCAGCTTGTCTGACATTCAAATTGTTTCAAAGATTCCAATTCCAAAAGTGCACAAAAAAGGGTTTACTAAGTTAAAAATCAGTTAGAATACTCATAAAACAGTGGTAATTAAAAATAAATTTTGATCATTTGAATTGTTTATAGTACGGTAGTGTAGTTTGTATGAAGGTTTTTTTATCGTATATTCAGTTATTTAATTAGTGGTTCAGTTTTACAAATCCTACGGCTTTTACAATAGTCTAATTATTTCTTATATACAATAAACTCTTTTTTATATTATATCTATTTACCATCAACAGAAACAGTAATTTTTAGTTGCTCAATCGTTAGCAATTCCACGCACATACGAGTATGCACATGATACGGTTCCTAAATCACAAATCACCATGAATGCAATTACTGAATGTGGCAAAACAATCAATAAAATTCGATACAGTTGCGAAAACGTCGTTTCCCGGTAGATTAAAAGTCGCCAATCTGCATAGGGTTTAAGTACACGTTCATGCTTCGACGATTAGTTACTCTAACGAGAAAAAAGTAATTTCGCGTATAAAGGAGTTATTACATTGTCCAATATATATGATGAAAGGTACACGAATTTGTCAACTTATCTACTCTATGGATATTGTAAGTACATACAGAGAGTATATTTATAAAAAATGTAAATTATGGAAACACAGTACTGAATTGGGTAATTCCTTCACTGTTTGAAAGATACATTCAAGCTTCTCGGTGGTAGCGGTTTAGCATACCACCTTACTTCCGATGATACATTTGTATTCATGAGTATAATTGTTTGTGTCGGTCTGGGTGATGTCTATGTATAATTCTGTATGCATTTTACAATATATATTAGGGTACTGGCACCAGTAGTCAGCCTTTTAGTGGTAAGTCTGGGTTCAAACTTATATAAGAAAATATTAGAAAGAGTAAATTGAAAGTCTTTTGTATAATTTAACTTACTCATTTATTAAACTTTGTTACAAAATTAACAAAAATTACAAATTTATCCTTTAATAAAGTGAAAAATACTTTTTAACAAAATAAGGCACTTTTCACCAGTGCTCAGCCGCCAAAAACTAGTACTCAGCCATATTGCCACCAGTGGTCAGCCTCTCTTAAGATCAATAGTTTCAAGCTTAAAGATTAAGAACATTAATAAACAATTAGTCCGGTCATAGAACCTAAAAGGACTTAACTGTGCCCTAACAATCACAACAATCAAATACCTATCTAACTTATATTTAAATCAGTCGGAAACTTCTTTAGTAACATCAGTATTTAAAAAGATTTCAAGTTCTTCTTCTTCTTTCTAAAAGTCGCCGATTAACAATTTTTTTAGGAGCTTATCTTCCTTACAGGTTTCTGTGTCAGGAGTTTCAGGATATAGAAGTATATTACTGAGAATTTTAATTTTATTTTGTTTTGTTTTCCACTAAATCACAGCCTGTCTTTGTGCATTTTATGCTCAATTCCTTATCATAATCATAATTTTTCTTCTTTGTAGTCTCCTTCACTTTACTTTTGGTAGAATCTCGAGCTGCTTTTTTTCTTTTTTTGTATAAAAAACTATATAAAAAACAATTTAAATATGGACGGTTGAACACTGGATCTACTGTCACCAGTACTCAGCCATGTAACAAACTCTAACTATTTAAGTGGCCGACTATTGGGTTTTTGACAAACAGCGTTAAAACCAGTAGTCAGCCAGGGGTGGTTGAGTACTGGATAATGTATATAAAAATGGTACCCAGTAGTCGGCCACTTCATTATTTAATAATTCTTAAGAAAAACATGATACTTTTCATTGATTTCAATGCCAAAAGTCTTAATTAATGTAAATTTTAATACAAAGTGGCCTAAAATTAACAAAATAATGAAATAAATTACTATTTCTGTGAACGCTTCTCACTAATAAAAAAATGGCGCGCACGCCGCATGTCGCCTCGTCAGCCGATGACATCGAAATAGATTCATATTTAATGTACTTCGCAGCCACGTAGCTACTATGTTTGGATTTAATTCTAGCAATGAGAAGTCATAGAAGCTATTTAAAATAATTTGATTAGTTATTTTCTGTTATAGCGCTATTCCTATTGGTTTTAAACCGAAAAAGGCTGAGTACTGGTGCGGGGCCGACTACTAGTGCCAGTACCCTATCCATTAGTTGTCTAGTAGCCATAAATAGTTTTTGCATGGGGATTATTAGTAACGTTTTTGGTGAATTTACCATGTTGTAACTGACCTAACCGTACTCATCTTATCATCTCATATCCAACCACGATGGTTTCCAGAGGGAACCGCGTGGAGGTCAACCTAACATGGTACATTGCTAGCAATAAGATTATCAGTCTACATTACTACCAATTCCCGTTTCTCCCTTAAGAGAGATATTTACAATAGTATATTACTATTTTATTAAGTAAAGGATTCGGTCTCCAATGACTGTATAGTTATTTTACCTGTTTGTGTCATAACCAGGCAACGGTGTTGCCGCGTGATCAAGAGCGGATCCAGCTTTGGCACCAGGAAGGGGTCACATAATCGTAGTCAAGTCAAGAACTTATAATTTGATAACAATAGATACAATAAAAAGTAGGTATTTTAACGTACGTAAGTGCTGTACTTAAAAATTTATTCTTTATTGTACACTTGAAAAACATAACACATAATAACTTGTACATACTACCATCTTCTCTTGAAGACATCCAGAGAGGAATTATATAAATATAATTAATTAAATATTGAGGGTATGTAGTTACATAAAATCTGTACGGTGACAAAATGTATAAATAAAATCATTATGTTCAATTAGTGGTCCACCTGGGCTCAGGGGGGGGTCATGACCCCATGACCCCCCCCCTGGATCCGCTATTGCGCGTGATGTTAGTAAATACAGTGAGCTCGCTTTAGGTTTAGACTGAACGGCCCGTGCCGGCGCGGCGACCTCATTGCATTGGCGCTTTTCCAAAGCAATCAAAGAGAGTTATCAAAGCAAAGCAGAAATCTAATGGGGTCGCAAGTACAGTCCACTCTCATTATTATAATGCATTTATAAATGTGTTTAAATAATTAAGATAAAACACTATGATGATACATTTAATCGTAATTTATTCTTAAAATAATGAATATAGCATTCAAAATCTTCACATAGTATAAAATAAAGTAACAAACATCCATGTAATATTAATAAGATACCTATGTATGTGTCTGCAATATGGAGAAATAGGGCATTTTTGTTTTTATTATCAAATTTTTATTCTATTTTTGTAACTTCAATATGGAAAAATCATTATTTAAATTCAATAACAATAATCTAATATCCCTCTAAGACAAACTGCGTAGTTAACAGAATTATAGTGCTCTGATAATGTAATTCAATAGGTACTTTTTGCCTCTGCAGGTACCTCTAATAATACTCTAAGTTATAACTCTTGTAAACCGTCGCCGCGTCGTGGTTACTCCTGCTTTCTTTCGTTTCAATTTTGCAACGACTTTTGCGCATTCTGTCGCATTCTTAGATCGTGACATGGCCACATTTCAAATAGACCACCGTGTTGGGTAAAGCTCGCAACCAGCAGAGCAGATTGGCGCAATCGCGTAATGGAGCGTCGAAAGGTTTGCGATTATGCCTGGTTATAAAGACTTGCTGACAAGAGACGGAAGCGCCATCTAGGCGGCTCAGTACAGACTACTGTTACTGACAGTTAGCTGCTGCGGCATATGCTGAGTGTCAGCCATGTTGCCAACCATATATATAAATAATATGATTTTTTAGTAATTGTTCTAAGTGTGTATGTATGTATATACATATATATGTAAAATGTACCTTTGTCAAATGTGTAAATGTAATATTGGTAGTCAATAAATGTTTTTCTTTCTTTCTTTCTTTCTTTCTTTCTTTCTTTCTTTACTGCTAATAATTTCCCTTTTCTAGCCTGTGGTAGGCCATGCCGTTCTCGTATCGGTTTATACAGCTACAAAAACTGTTGTTGCTGACAAAACTATGGGTACTATATGTGGATGGAGTGTGCTTTCCATTTATTATTATTATAAAAAAAAATATATTAAACAAATGAACATTTTATTTCCGAAATATAAACATAGTTTCCTTATATATATATTTATCTAATATATAAATAATAATTAAACAGCAACCGACGATTTGCTTCAATTCATAAACAATACTAGCTGCACCCCCCACTTCGTCCGCGTAAAATAGTGACCTTAATCAACTATTTAGTAATCTAACCCAATAGTAAACTAAATAAAAAGTTTAATCATTCTAGCTTTAAAAATGATGAATTTACATAAAAGAATTCCATACAACTTAATCAACAGCCTGAAAATAAGTTTCAAGCTTCTGGCTTTAAAAATAACGTTACTTCCATACAACATTTCATCTCCTCTTTCAACCCCTTACAACCCTTTTTTCTTGGGGGGGATTGATAACCCCATAACTAGCAATGTACCATGTCAGGTCGACCTCCATGCGGTTCCCCCTGGAAACCATCGTGTTAAATTCTTGGTGAATTTGTCACGATGGGCTAACTGATCTGACCTCATGCTCATCTTATCATCCTCCACTGGTGCCCCGCCATCGTAAACCGTTAGCGCAGGCGGGTGCACCATTCCATTATCATCCACAAAAAAAACCCTTTTTTCTTTATTTATATTTAATCAACAGCCTACAAAATAAGTTTCAAACTTACAGCTTTAATATTGACGATACTTCCATATAACCATTTATCTTTCTTTTCAACCCCTTACAACCCTTTTTCTTTTTTTATATTTAATCAACAGCCTACAAAATAAGTTTCAAACTTACAGCTTTAATATTGACGATACTTCTATATAACCATTCATCTTTCTTATCAACCCCTTACAACCCTTTTTTCTTTTTTTATATTTAATCAACAGCCTACAAAATAAGTTTCAAACTTACAGCTTTAATATTGACGATACTTCTATATAACCATTCATCTTTCTTTTCAACCCCTTACAACCCTTTTTTCTTTTTTTATATTTAATCAACAGCCTACAAAATAAGTTTCAAACTTACAGCTTTAATATTGACGATACTTCTATATAACCATTCATCTTTCTTTTCAACCCCTTACAACCCTTTTTTCTTTTTTTATATTTAATCAACAGCCTACAAAATAAGTTTCAAACTTACAGCTTTAATATTGACGATACTTCTATATAACCATTCATCTTCCTTTTCAACCCCCTTACAACCCTTTTTCGCATCAAAAAGAACCCTATATTCTTACGCAGTTCGTACACAGATATACCAAATTTCATTTAAATCGGTTTAGTAGTTTTGGCGTGAAAGCGAGACAGACAGACAGAGTGAATTTCTCATTTATAATTTTAAATAAGGATTATTATCTGAACATATTATCAATATCTAACTTGGTTTCTGCAAATAAAATTAATTTTATTTCAGATGTACTGAGCGAACTGTATCCAGTAGGTGGCGTTGAGCACGGAGAATAAGAGCGGGAAAAAGACGCGGGAGAATCGGTCGATGTTGATCGCTCTGGTCCTGGCTTTGGCCGCTTCCGCTGCGTCCTGAAAGGGAGACTCTGGTAATGATCATGATCCAGGTACTAGGGAGTTCTAGATGTGTCTAGAACTTCATGTTGGGGTACTAACTAGTTCGTCTGTAAGAGATTGCTATAAGCGATAAGGCCGCCTTTTAGTAACCACATTTATTCAGTGTAATTTTCTAGATGTTTCTAGACCTTTTAGTTTTCGGTTCATGTTGGGGTACTAACTAAGTCGTTTGCAAGAGATTGCTTTAAGCAATGAGGCAGCCTTTTACTAAGAGGATTTATGCAGTGTTCTTTTGTATTTTACTTACTGTGCGGAATAAAGAGTTATTATTTTTTTTAACCCGTGAATATTTCTATTGGTTTTACTATTATTAAATCATATTTATGTACTTAAATACATACTACATTCTGAAACTGTTTGTATCCCAAATAAAATAAATAAACCTTGCATGCAACTGAACTGCGACGGTTGAGATGGATGTGTGGTGTGACGAGGATAGACAAGATAAAGAATGAATACATCAGAGGAAGTATGAAAGTGGCACCGATGTCAGAGAGGTTAAAGAGTAATCGTCTATCGTGGTATGGGCATGTAATGCGTAGGAATGAAGATCATATCCTAAGGACGGTGTTACATATGAATATGGATGGTTATAAGGGTAGAGGAAGACCGAAAAAGAGATGGATGGACTGCGTGAAAGATGATAAGGAAAGGGAGTAAATAACGAGATGACTGCGAACAGAGATGAATGAAGGTGAAAAACATATTACGCCGACCACAAATAAATGGGATAAGGAAGAAGCAGATGATGAAATAAATAAAACTCGACATAGGCCGAAAAACAACAATACCTGAATCTTTGAGTAACTGCTCGATGATGAAAACACCGGTAACAAACTAGTTTTATGGCATATTGCATTCCAATACTTAGAGGCCAATTTTTCACTAGAGAACTAACCTAGTGGAAAATGGACGTGTCAAGAGGTACATTCCTTATGACGACGTATTAGCTTTTTTTGTTGGGGATTTGGACTATTGCCAGGTGCTTGGACCTGTAGCACTGCATATTTGCTTGCTTGCTATTACAATAACACTAAAAAAAATTACATACCTTAGGCTTGCCGGCTCCGTCCCCAAGTACTATGTTAACCAAGCAGTACTCCATTAACGCCATAAACACGAATCTGATATAAAGAAATGGTCATACTCGTGAACGGTGCAGCTAGTAGGAACTGGTCTAGTCTTATCACTATGATTGATTTATTTTTTTACTCATTTAATCATCGTATAGATGGTTACATGAGTAAAAAGTGGATAAATTGTGTGAAACCGCAGGCACAGCTAGTAAATATATAAATATGTTTTTTGTAAATAAATAATATAAATACAAAACATCTCAGATCGATACAAATAATCATCATCATGAATACAAATGTTAGTACCGTTCGAGGAATCGAACCCGCGACCATCGTAAGTAAAGCGGTGTGCTCAACTGCTACACCACTAAGGCCGTTAAATCTCATTCGATACATAAAAACCTATCTAATATATAAAATTCTTGTGTTACAGGTTTCGTGTTTATACTCCTCCGAAACGGCTTGACCGATTTAGATGAAATTTTATATGTACCTATATTCAGTAGATCTGAGTGTAGGCTTACAACTAATTTATTTATTCCTAAGTGTTAAGGGTGTAAGGGGTGTACCACAATCTTTTTTGTTCCATTTACACGACTAATTTTTTTTTTTTAATTTTTATAATGTGGCGTTAAAAATACATACAACCCTAATTTTTCACCCTTCAATCACTAACCCCAATTATTTAATAGCGATTTTAATTTATACGACAAAACAACGTTTGCCGGGACAGTTAGTTACTATATATAAATTGACTCACACTGTACAGACAGACATAAATGCATCGACAGCTTTAAGGTACGACACGGGCGGAAGCTGCGCCTGCGATTTGGCGTGCTGCGTGGACAGCGTCAGCAGTGACGTCACGCCCAGCGTCACCCGCGCAGGTGCCGCATCAGGCTTTATCCAGAACGATACCCACTGTATTGAGAATAATTAATAATTATAATTGTACGGGGATTGTGGATTCAAATTAAGATGAGTTTACGTACTTATTTATTTTCTAAAGATTTAAGATAATTACAATTTTTTATTAAGTTGCGCTCGCGCATCTGTAGGCAATCATAATGTCACCGGTCGATCGTGTCCTCCCGCTCCCCACGCACCCGCGTCCCCGTTGCTAGGGCGTCAACAATAATCAAAAAATACCCTAAACTTATATACTCATATATCCTAAATATATGCCGTATAGTCAGAAATTTTCTTCAGACAGACAAATCCGATATTCATATGTAATATATTATATTTATACTTTTTACTGGAGTAAAAAGTCTCTTCATGGAAGACAGAGCGAATCTATGCCAAACTCATGTCGACAAGAATGCGTCGAACAAAAAGCTGAAACGCGGTGAGTTCTTCCCAGAGACAGAAGCATTCATGTTAGCGATTCAAGATCAGATAATTAGTACCAGAAACTATACAAAGCACATTTTAAAAGACAGAAACTCGCCCAATGATATGCCGACATTGCAAGTGTTCCCGAGACCATTCAACACATCACGGGTGCTTGTAAGACGTTAGTACAAAATGATTATAATCACCGCCACGATCAAGTTGCTACAATTATACACCAATACATAGCACACAAATATAAATTCATAGAAAGTAAAGTTCCATATTACATATATATTCCAATCAATGTACTCGAACATGCCCACTGTAAACTGTACTGGGATAGAACAATAATTACTGACAAAACCGTACATCACAATAGACCCGACATAACATTACACGACAAAATCAACAAAAAAAGTATATCTTGTAGATATAGCCATCCCAAACACACACAATATACAAAGCACCGTCAATGAAAAACTAACAAAGTATATAGATCTAGCAATAGAATTAAAAAAATAATGGAAAGCACACACCATCCACATAGGACCCATAGTTCTGTCATCCACAGGAATTATACCAAAAAGTCTTATCAAACGCCTAGACACGTTGCAAATCCCCTCCTCTACAATAGACCTATTACAAAAAGCCGTTATTCTCAACACATGCCGCATTGTACGGAAATTTCTGTCGTCTTCACTTTCATCATCCTTATATAACTTTAAAATTCATCCACACTTGACTAAGGCCCGCGTGTTTGAATGTATTAAGGGAAAATGACCATTTCGATCCCTGTTTGAATTGGATGGGGGATCACAGGGACAGATCAGAGGGGTTCACACCAGTGTGTGAATTTTCCTGAGATATTCTCCCATCCAGTCTCATGATAGCAGAGCTTGTATTATGGTGTTTTTTTTTGTAATTAAATACATATTATGCATAGAAAACACCCAGACCGCAGGGGCGGATCTTGAATTTGTAGGGCCCTGGGCTAAATCTATTTAGGGGCATACCTAATTATATTACTTTACTAAAAAATACACCGACCAAAAATTCGACCCGTTCCTTTCGATAGACGCGCAATTGCATGGGTTAATTCATCTCAGGGTTGCCAACTTTATGATAGGTTTTTTAACATTGTAGATATTTTTTATATTCTAAATATTGTTTCAGTGGGGGCTGGGGGGCTTTATATCTTCGGGGCCCTGGGGTACAGCTAAAGAAATCCTTAGGTAGATCCGCCCCTGCCAGACCGAAATAATCATACGCATGAGCATACATATTTGTGCTTGCTGTTACTTCTGGCAGGGGCGGAGATACCTATCACCGTGCGATCGAACCCACAACTACCGGATACTAAAGCAATGTGCTAAACCGCTACCACCGAGACCGTCATATGATGTTTTTGAATAAATAAATAAATAACTAAATAATTTAGATAGATAGATAGATAAAAATTTTATTCACGTTAAAGACAAACAAACACACAAAAACACTGTATAATAAAAACAAAAATAAAAACTGATATACAATTACATTAGCCAAGTCAAACAATTTCTATTCAACTTACGGACATGATGACGATAAGGCATGTTGGTATGTAGGTGTTGAACAGATGGTACCCGAGACGTCGTTTCAGTTTGAATATCACCTCCAAACACGTGAAGTTACCTGTAAATAATAATAACCATTCATTCAGCACTAGCCATTCCCGTGACTTCGTCCGAGTCGAATAGGAACCTTGGATAGTAGAAAATATTTAATCATTTAACTCAAAAATGCGATGGAAAAAAGTTACATCGTTCTAGTTTGTAAAAATAATGAATTTCCATACAAACTTTGAATGAAACTTATTTTTAAAGCTGTTGATTAAATAATTATAGTATTTAATCAACAACCTGAAAAATGAGTTTCAAGTTCTAGCTATAAATATGACGACAAAATTTGTAAACTCTGAAAAAAAAATTGTAAAAATGACGATACTTCCATACAACGGTTCGTCTCCCTTCTTAAACCCTTCAACCTTTTTTCGCGTTAGAAAATAGTCTATGTCCTTTCTTAGGGTCTAGATTATCTGTGTACCAAAATGTATCATTTAAATCTGTTTAGTAGTTTTGGCGTTACTCCATTAACAAAAATATTAATTCCTCACCCTGGTTCACTAAATCTAGAGTTTATAAAAATCGGAAATTTTACACACTCCTTATACGACTTCGTTTTGGTCACGCTAGATACAATAGTCATTTGTGCCGAATGAAAATAATTGATTCAAATGCATGTCAAGAGTGCAATAACAGCAGTCAGACCCTAAATCACATATTTTTCGAATGTTCCGCTTATAATATTCAACGCTTGGTCTTTATTGATAATTTACTGAACATTTACAAGAAACCGGAAAAAATCCCGCGCGACATCCAAGACATGCTAAATAATTTTGAAACGTATATACCTATATATTTATACGTTACCTCGATATCGATGAAACTTTAAATAATTGATACAAGGACATGGACTACGGATGAGACTTAAATTTTGAACACGAATGAAAACAATAAATAAACATACATAAGAATTGGCCTTTGGCCTCATCACTTGTTCAAATATGAAGAAGTTTAAAAGTAGACTAGGCTGTACGGTCTAAGGATCTTTGCCTGTTCCATCACTGAAAAGGAGATGGACGAATATGGGGGAAAAAAAATAGTTTTGGCGTGAAATCGCTATGTCTGTCTGTAGCGCTTTCACGCCAAAACTACTAAACAGATTTAAATGATACATTTTGGTTACAGAGTTACTTTCGCATGTATAATATTTGTAAGGATTATGCATTTCTATGTTTTCGATTACGACTAATCGACTGAAAGAGAATGGACATATAACATAGGTCATCTTTTATTTTAAATTAAAAAAAACGCAGACGAAGTAACGGGATACAGCTAGCAATCTAATGTTGAGTTAATTACGAAATATTGGATTAAGATAAAGAAATTTGGTTTTCATCCAAAAAGATTATGATGCGACTATGGTAGGGGTGAGCAACCTTTTTCTGCAACGAGGCAACTTAATTTTTTTTTTCTGGGCGGCAAATAAAGTAACGCTTAGTAATAATTTATCAAACGTTATTTATAATAAATATTTGAATAAAAAATATAAAATAAAAAGTACAAATTTCATACACAAACTTTTAAGCAAAATAATCAGCCGACGCGGCGCATTTATTTTGCATGTGTGAACATGTCGCCGACAAGTAACTCCACAGAAAAAAAAGTGGTTTAGTACTACTTACTAGTACTACTTTTTCTTTTCATTCATTTCATTATAGTAATTAATTTTCTAACAATATTTTAATGGCGGAAATTCGAAAAAAGAATTCAATTTTACAAATTCATGGCGGGCCGCATACATACACATTTAACAGGTCGCAAATGCCCCGCGGGCCGCGTGTTGTTCAACCATGCCCTAGATGATAATCGAATGATCTTTTCACCATAAAAAGATATAACACTTTAGGGGCAATAAACGGCTTATACTTTATGAGAGATTAAACCTACATATGTTCATGTACACAATGGTTTAATTCTCTTTACAACCAATTTTAATTAGAACAAGGCTTTGAATGATTATACAATTATTATTATGCTTTTAAAAGGAGCAAGGTTTGAAGGCCTACAAATATTGTTAAGAGTATTTAGGATAGACTCCTTTTAACCAAATGCGCATTGCTAACTAGCTCTCCTCCGAAACGGCTTCACATATTTTTATGAAATTTTATGCATACTCATGACTTGTACTCATAACCCTAAGTAATAAGGGTTTGGGTATACGCTGGCAGGGCACCAGTGGAGGAATATAAGATGAGTATGTCAGGTCAGATGACGTAACTGTTCTGAAAATATTCTCATGAAATTAAAAATTCTCAGGACTTGTACGTGGCTGACGTACAGCTTGAAAATATTCTTTTCAGTAGCTTAAAATATTCTCAGGACTTGTACGTGGCTTCATCTCACTTGTACGTACTTCTCGTGGCTGAAAATACTTGTACGTGGATGAGTGGCTGAATATTCTCATGACTTGTACGTGGCTGAAAATATTCTCATGACTTGTACGTGGCTGAAAATATTCTCAGGACTTGTACGTGGCTGAAAATATTCTCATGACTTGTACGTAGCTTAAAATATTCTCAGGACTTGTACGTGGCTGAAAATATTCTCATGACTTGTACGTAGCTTAAAATATTCTCATGACTTGTACGTGGCTGAAAATATTCTCATGACTTGTACGTGGCTGAAAATATTCTCATGACTTGTACGTGGCTGAAAATATTCTCATTCTCATGACTTGTACGTGGCTGAAAATATTCTCATGACTTGTACGTGGCTGAAAATATTCTCAGGACTTGTACGTGGCTGAAAATATTCTCATGACTTGTACGTGGCTGAAAATATTCTCATGACTTGTACGTGGCTGAAAATATTCTCAGGACTTGTACGTGGCTGAAAATATTCTCATGACTTGTACGTGGCTGAAAATATTCTCATGACTTGTACGTGGCTGAATATATTCTCATGACCAAGCATCTCGTACTCGTACGTAAATTCGTACAGTTTGAGTTCCTGTGCCTTCATATCCTGTGATAGCTTACCAGTTGAGTAGACCTGGGTGCAGTCTGCTGTTCTATTCTGCACCAGCTCCAGCTGCGGTAGTTCTATGTTCTCATCCACAACCAGGGGCACATCAGGATCCCATTGGAAGATCAAGTCATCTGTCGTATGGGATACTGGAATAGAAGAAAATGACATTTTTTATATTTAAACTAGCTGTCACGGCAAACGTTGTTTTGCCTTAAAATAATAATAAAAAATTTAGGGGTGGACTACCCCTAACATTTAGGGGGATGAAAAATAGATGTTGGCCGATTCTCAGACCTACTCAATACGCTCACAAAATTTCATGAGAATCGGTCAAGCCGTTTCGGAGGAGTATGGAACGAAAACTGTGACACGAGAATTTTATATATAAGATAATAATAGCCCTGGACAATTCACACAGCGCCATTTAGGCTCAAGATAAGAATAGAGCAGCCCGTATTATAGGTACTACATAACGGATATATTTTTTTTTAAATACATACCTAGAAATCACCCAGTCCGATCAAACATTCATACTCATACAAATGTTTGTACCATGTGAGGAATCGAACCCGCGACCATCGGATATAAAGCAATGTGTTAAACCGCTAAACCACCGAGCCGTTGAAGAAATGCCCACTTGAACACTTTTTCATTGAAACAGTCAAAATTATAAATTAACGTATCATTATAATCATCATTACATAGTATAAAACAAAGTCTCTGTCGCTGTCTATCGGATTTAATTGAGGTTTTTTTAATAGATAGAGTGATTCAAGAGGAAGGTTTATATATATAATAATACATATACACCCGTGCGGAGCCCGGGCAAGTAGCTAGTATAAAAATACATATAATTGTTATGTCTAGCGAAATGAGTACAAGGGAATTTTTGGTTTACACAATCTTATCTGATTACAGCATGTTTGGCTACTGTTTGGGTGTAAACATGTCGCTGTAAGTGCATCACGAGGATGGTATGGATTGATCAATTGGAAATTGACAGTATCGACCACTGATAACACAATTAGTAGGTCAAAGACTGATAATATTGGCAATAATCGCGAATTTACGAGAGAATTTAGTAAATGTTGAAATCTATTGAGGACATTTTTATAAAAAACTAACTACTCGCCTCGGCTTCGCACAGGTGTACATTTTATATTAATAATTACAACCAACTAGGTCTCTTGAATCACTCTATCTATTAAAAAAAAACGCTTCAAAATTCATTGCGTAGCTTATTTGTTTGTTTGTTTGTACAAACGTGCTAATCTTAGGAACTACTGGTTCGAATTGAAAAAATATTTTTGTGGTGGATAGTCCAATGTTGAAAAAGTCTTTAAGCTATATAACATTACGCTACGATCAATAGGAACGGGGCTGCAATGAAAAATATTGCAATAGGTGGGGAAATGAAAAGCATACGAAGTTGCCCGGGCCAGATAGTGATAAAGTTGTAGAAAATTGTCAACAATATAAAAAGAATATATAGGGGTGGGCCACCCTTATCATTGTGAGTATGAAAAATTTCATAAAAAATTATAAAACCGTTTTGGAGGACTTTGGTAACAATCATCGCGACATCAGAATTTTATATATTAGAGTGTAGGTACTCGTATATTAGGAAGAAGAAGAAGAAATAATCAAATATATTTATAACTAGTATTAGAAGTAATTAATTGTATAGAAATATATGTAATGACTAGTTATTTCAGATGTTGCCAGATTTAAACAATATACACCTATATTTTAAAAGCTTTTAGTTAACTTGCTATTTTTATAGCGTCGGTAGTCACTAGACTACCGACGTTTAATGCACCTATTTTTTTCCTCTCTTTATTTTCTCATCGCTTTATTTCCGATAAACAATCTTCGTCAGTATATATAGTATTCTTACACGTATTTCATTGTAGCCTAAACGTTATCTCAATGGATATGAATGAAGTTTGTATCTATCAAACACCTAATTACCAGAGTGGAAGGTAAAATATTGTACACCACGGAGTACAATTTGTCAGAGTCATGTAGAGTTCTTCATTTTTCATGTTACAGCAATATTTTTTTGGTAATGAAATAGACCAGAGGTTCCCAAACTTTTTTGTGTCGTATACCCCTTATACCTACCCTTATTCCTATTCTTACCTGGTATTGAGTTTTTGTAAATTTCTAATTGTAGTAAAGTTTAGTATTAAAAACATAAAGGAAAAACAACGATATGACCGCTGTCGTAGAATAGAATAGAATAGAATAGAATAGAAATAATCTTTATTCAAATAAACTCATTACAAGCACTTTTGAATAGTCATATTTTGATTCTACCACTCATTCGGAATGCAGATTCATCACAAGAAGAACGAGCAAGAAACTTGTGTGTTGCTCTTTTTAATAGATGTTTTTTTTATATAAATAATTACAGTATAACAAGTAAGAGGCATGCGATAATCAACATAGAAATCGCTACGCACTCATTACTAGTGTAATTAAATAATATTGTCAGTGGTATGGATTTTAGTTTTTCTATAAATACATTATTATCGTTAACGAATTCTTCAATTTTATAGTAAGCTTTTTTGCAAAGGAACTGTTTTATTTGACATTTAAATCTTTTTTCTGGCAGATTTATAACAGACTCTGGTATTTTATTGTAAAACCTTACGCAATTTCCATAAAACGAATTACTAACTTTAGCCAAACGACATTTAGGTAAAAGACCCCTTGCAGTTTGTCATAGACCTCTTGGGGTCGATATAGACCACTATGGGATCCACTAAAATAGCCTAACGCAAAATAATTCCTAATTCGATAAACTATAAATCACTTTATGTTAATTTTAGTAAGAGAATATTAAAATATCAACCGCTCGTTAAGAACTCATCAAGAGCTATTTATAAATCGATATTACATCTCGCCCCGTCACCAGTACACTTGACTGATCTCTCACGATAAAAACGAGCTGACTTCAGAGGAATGACGAGAAGACTCGAGTGGCCCTTGCCCTATATTCTGCGTACCACTCAACCGTCAAATTCTGTATCGCCCCACAAACTTTACTTACGGGTTGAGTGTTTTCAAAATGTAGGTATGCGGTATGTTTAGGGACTTGTATATAAGAAGTTTATTCAAATAATAGTAATTTACAGCTATATATAGTAATGAAGAACAGTATACAAAAATTAGTGATCAGAAGTACAATAGTTGAAGAATGTCTCTAGAAGAAGTTAGTTAGTGTAGATAGTTTCCCGCGCAAAAGCAACGCGCCACAGATTCAAAATATAAGGACGGCGCGCAGCCGCAGTAGGATTGATGAGCGCACCATGGCAGTATGCGATGTTAGTACTATGAGTATTAACAGTAGGTCTGGTGAATTTACAGGGCACAGAGGTAGCAATTATGGGTATTGTTTGCCGTTGGACTTCATATTATATATTCCGCGTAATTGAATAGGAAGTGCTGCATCCATCTTAATTAGGGTTGTCACCTATTTATTCTATACTAGGTATTTTTTTTATTTATAACTCTTTATTGCACCTTAAAAACAATACAAAAAAAACAATATTCATAATATACAGAAAGGTAGGCTAGGTACAAAAGGCGGTCTTATCGCTAAAGCGATTTCGTCCAGACAACCTTTGGGTAGAGGAAAAAAGACAGAAGGTGGTGGATGGCGCAAAATGGAATTAATAGACAGAAATAATAATAGTAATATATCATATATATCCATATATACATATATATACACATAATATAAATACATATACATACATCATACATAATATAAATATAAAATTAAAAAAGTAAATTAGTAATAATCTAAGCAATGTGCAATTAAGAAAGAGACAATTTAGTAGAAAGGAAAGGATAGTAGAAAAAAAATTTAATGAGACAGATAGTGTGATTTTACAGCGTTTTTAAAAATAGGTATGTATATTAATATATAATAATAATATTATAAAGCTGCTGTTTGTTTGTTTGAACGCGCTAATCTCAGGAAATACTATTTCGAAAGTCATCAGAAATGGCAACCTCTGACAGGCATCACAATATTCTTTCAAGCTTATATTCCTGCTCATGTGAGGTTCCTTTCAACGCGCACATGACACCGCTGGTGTTTCAGGCGTCCATAGGCTACGGTAGCCATTTACGACAGGCCGTATATTTATTTGCCAAGGTCGTAGTATAAAAAAAAGTTTAGCAATTTCCATCAGATGGACCATTAGCTCCTTATAATATTACTACAGACATGTATATATAATAAAAATATATATTGTTAATAAATAAATAATAATATATATTGTTTTAACAAACCTACCAACTGACTTAAAATTTTTATTCGAGTATAAAATATATTTCTATTTAAAAAATAGAAACGCCTTTTTAGGGCTAAAGTTAAATAATATTGCGACTATAAATTGAGATGTAAGCTATCCTATCTTTCAAGTTGGATCAAATTGCACACAATGTGCAAATCATATTTGCAATTGGCTCAGTAGTTTAGGAGTCCATCGCGGGCAAACAACGTGACACGTCATTTTTATACATAAACATTATAGTGAATATATATTTTTTATTATACAGAAGGTAATTGGAATCTATATTTTCTCGTGAAATTAAATTATTCTAATACTATAAATAATTTTTAGATTGTTGTTCATGTCATATTACCTACCTGTTCGATATTACAATACGTTTCCCTAAGGTTGCCTTGAAAAGATTACTTTTAGCAATAAGGCCGCCTTATCGTAACGATACACGTGTCCTTTGAGATATTTTTACGCTTCTTATTTACTATATGTTGCAAATAAAGTATTTTTTAACCATCTATCTACTAATTGCAATAACCAAAGAAATCAAGTTAATTTTCTGTGCATAAAATAATAAATATTTTGACACTAAAATAAGCTGGGTAGTAATCTGGCTGCATATTATAATTAGACGTCAAGTGTCAAGTGTCAAGTGTCGAGTGTCGAGTGTCGACTCAAGTGTCGCGGTGTCGGCGCGACTCGAGTGTGGCGGCCACTCTACTCAGAACAGACTGAATAACGAGCCAACATAAGAAAATAGATATAAAATATATGTCCATAGAGTTGAAGTAATATAAAGCGTAAAGCATATCATCATCATCATCATCTCAGCCCGAAAGTCCACTTCTGGACATAGGCCTCCCCCAATGATCTCCACGACGATCGATCCTGCGTTGCTCGCATCTATCGCCCTCCAGCGATCTTAACCAGATCGTCGGTCCACCTAGCTAATGAATATAAAAAAATTAAAAGTAAAAATGTAAAGCATATAATAACTAATAAATAATAATATATTGAACAACAACAAAATTAAAAAAGCACCACGAAAGAATAAAGTAGAAAAAAAATTAAAAAGAACTATTGTAACTTCGCGCGTTTGAAAGTTTACACATTTACTATGGACAGTACAGATGTTAAGTGATAGTGATAAGTATCCGAAAAATATATATCTGTGGAATATTGTTATTTATGGTACACATTTAATAAAGTACGGTTCTGTCTTGACATCTTCCTTCTTAGATGAAAGGCCGACCGAGTAACAAGTCTAAAGACTTTGTTTGTAATTTTTTATTGTACAGATTATTAACAGATACATGTTTTAAAAAAAATGGTACAGTGGCGCACTTATCCTAAAAGAGGGATTTCTTACAGTCAACCTTTGAGTACAATAAAAAAATACGCGAAAAGCAATATATATACATATATATAAATATAGTACAGGAAATAAAAGTAAATCTAATAATAATTTTAATAGAAACATAAATTAATAATAATAATAATAATAACCTCAGGACAATTCACACAGCGCCATCTAGACCCAAGTTAAGCTAGCTAAAGCTTGTGTTATGTGTACTAGACAACTGATACAAATACATAGATTTTTTTTTTTCGTAAATACATACATATTACACATAGAAAACACCCAGACCGATACAAACAATCATACTCATGAATACAAATGTTTGTGCCATGCGAGGAATCGAACCCGCGACCATCGGTAGTAAGGCGGTGTGCTAAACCGCTAGACCACCGAGGCCGTCAAAACAAAAAATTCAAAATTATAACAACAAAATATATATATAGAAATACACATAAATATATAAACATATACATAAAAGAAAATGAAAAAATATTATAAATAATTGGAATATTAAAAGAGCACAGAGTACTTAATTGTAATCCCTAAAATGCCAATAGGAGTTGTCTCGCTCAGGCATATTTCCATATCTGGTTGCCAGGATTACAGTATTACCAGCCGACAGCTTCCAGCTTCATCTACCTACTGCATGGCATCGATGTTGCGACAACACACCCTTCCAGTATAACAGTCTATGGTATTTAATTAATTGATATTTAATGCCTGATGGCATTCTCTACCAGTCAACCGTCGCGTTGATGATTTGGCTGAATATTGCTACAGGAATTTCGAGTAGTGTTAGATAAGGAAAATTTTGGTTTGATATCTTCGGAGCCCAACAGGAAGTGCATTCCAAAGATTAATAGCAGAAATAGTAAACGATTGAGATGAGAAGTTAGAACGATGAGAAAGTGTATAAAGCAGGAGATTAAAATTGGTATCAGCTAGTACAGTATAAATGCTACTTACGGCTTTCCATCTGCAGCTTGCACTCCTGCGTATCATGAGGGTAGATGAGGAAGTTCATGGCGCAGGACAGCTTCAGGGTCAGCTTGACCATGTACAATATGGTTTTGTCCTTGTACAACCATACGTAGTGGTTTGGGATGGTCATCGTTTGGAAGGTCACTGATTTGGCGTTCTTGAAAAAGGAGTCCGGACGCCACATGTGTTTCAGCCAGTCCACTTCTAGCAGCCTGGTGGAAATTTTCAATTTAAATGTACGTCTTACTAAGATTTTAAAGGCGAAAGTTTGTGAGTATGGACGGATGGATGGGTATTTGTTACTCTTTCACGCAAAAACTGCTGAACGAATTCTATTTCACTATGACTGATTTCCTCTTATTAATTGTTTAACCAGTTGGTTATATATTCAATATTTTTTCTATTTGAGTATTTAATTGAATTAGTGATAATTGGTGGTTTGTATTCACACACTTAAACTTAAAAATGTAGAGTAATAATAAAATTATTTAAAAGAGCAACACGCAAGTTTCTTGCTCGTTCTTCTTGTGATGAGACAGCTTTCCGAACGAGCGGTAGATTAAAAAAATGTAATGACTATTCAAAAGTGCTTCAATGTAAGTTTATTTTAATAAATGATTTTCTATTCTAATAAAACTATACAGCTTATAAATAAGTGCCATACAGATGAATGTGCGAGGGTCAGCTAGTTATTTATTATCGGCCAGACCATAAAAAAATACAAAAAGATCTTGGAACCAGCAGTAACGAATTTAATTAACTTATAATTTTGTCAATGACGAGCCAAATGTGACTCGTTTTACATGGCAAAAAAGTAAATGTAATATGGGATATCTGAAAAGAGAATGTTTTGCGTGTGTGCGTCAAATACTACCATGTTTTTAACACACACACACTTATATAAATAACCTCTTGTGTGAGATTATAAACTAATGTATTTTTATGCATACATGAGCAATTGTGCTATTGTAGCTAAAAACAAAATCAAACCTGTATTCGGACGTCATATTCTCTGGTAACCTAAGACGGAAGTCCTTCCAAGTTTGCGCGAAGAATATATCAGCCGCGTATGTCTGTTAAAAGATAGATAGATCTATTTTTTTTATGGATGATAATGGAATGGTACACTCGTCTACGGTAAACACTGGAGGTGTGTGAAATTCCAAAAAAAAATATGCTGAATCCTCAAGTCAAGCTCATGTAGAAAGGTGTGGCCTAAAATATTATTGTTATACAGCAACCTTGCAACGTCGGGATTTCAGCGGGTCATAGACAAAACGACGGCGGTTACAGTTTATATTCAAAACTAGCTGTACTAGAGTCTTCGTCCGCATGGAATTTAACTTTATTTTTTTTAAATAAAAGTAGCCTAAGTTACTCCTTATTACATCGGCTACCTGGTAAAAAAAGTCCCGTCTAAATCGATCCAGCCATTTCAAAGATTAGCCGGAACAGACAGACAAAAATTAAAAAAAAATATATTTTGGTGTATGTACCTTATTTATATGCATATGCATGTAGTAAAAAACTGTTATTTCAGTATTACAAACAGACACTCCAATTTTAGTATGTATAGATTGGCTAACGATCGCTTACGCATAATTATACGCATCCATTTTAAAACATTTTTAAGTAATTAAAAAACTAACCAGAAATCTCCGATTTTTAATACCTTCAAGATCACGATCAAGATCCTCCTCTCACTAAAAGCCACAAACTTTTTTTGAAAATCCTAATTATTGCTCCACTTGGGAATTGTATGCTCATATTTTACACTCACTTCAATTGGAATTACTTGATTCATAAATATTTTACCATAGAGTTTTCATCAATGGAGTCCAGCCCCATAACTGTAACGTGGAAGTTGACTATGGTCGGCTGGTCGTTGATCTTCGGCGGGCGCATCTTGTCATACAGCCGAGGGTCATCAGGCAGCAGATCTTGGAATGTCAGCAGAGTTGACCTGGTGACAATTTTTTTAACTGGTAGATTGTCATTCCTATATAAAGTTATACCCAATTATTTTACTCTATATGACATGAACTTGCTAGCAATGTACCTTGTTAGGTTGACCCGCACTTGGTTTGCCCTAGAAACCATCATGATAAATTCCTGATGGCTAACTGACCTGATCTCATGTTCATCTTATCCTTTACTTGTGCCCCGCCAGCGTATGTCTAGAGTAGTGAACGCATCATTCCATTATCATCCATAAAAAAAAACATTTCACGAAACTACTTAGCTAAAAACCTACAAAGCAGGCAGATTCTCAAAAGCCTCTACCTACCTACTTATCTCTATATAATTATAAAAAAAATCCTCGCAGCGATTGTCAGATTGTTTCATGTTCATGGCTGCACCATACATCAATTTCCATTAAAAAAATATGACGTCACCATTTTGCCATTAGGCCGGCAGTTAGTTTGTTTGGTATTCAACTACATAATAGAATACTTGTATTATACGTACATACTATTTTTATCATTACATTGTATAAAACAAAATCACGGTCGCTGTCTGTCCGTCCCTATGTGTGCTTAAATCTTTAAAACTACGCAACGGATTTTGAAGCGGTTTTTTTGATAGATAAAGTGATTCTGGAGGTAGGTTTATATATATAATTATATATAATTGTATTACAATACATTGACACCCGGGCGAAGCCAGGGCGAGTAGCTCGAACTGTATATATAACAGCGGGACCCCCAACTGAAAGCAAATAAGTATTGCATGAAGGGTTGCATTTGTAAAATTTGTTTTGTAACGGAGAAACAATTAGTTAGATGATGGCAGAGGGACCAGTAAACAGAACGAAACAGGTAAAATAATCTGAATTATGAAAAAGCAATGAAATATCAGCCTGATGCTACGCTCACCAGATGTTGTGGAATTTAGTATGGACAGGGTCACATGTAAAGTCGACCTATTCCCGTTCAGGGTATTTCTGACAGATATAGTTTTATTTACATTTACTATAGATTAGACAGTATACAACTATATTAGACAGTATAGTTTACATCATATCTGATATATATATCTATACTAAATCCGTTTTCGAGATATTTGAATTTAATTGTTTTTTACAAAAATAATCTCGATTTTCTGAATTGAAGTCATATAGTCATATATGTGTTGGAAACTCGCAACAAAAACTGATTTATACCTCATTAAAAAATTTAATAAAATAAATTTATTAATGAGGTTCAAATAGAGAACTCTGTGTAAAGATGAGTACGAGAGTTTTTTTGTTTATGTTCTTTTTAATAAAATTTTACCACGTTAATTATATCGAAATTATAATAAAAATATAATTACAATTTGGTGTTTTATAATTGTTTTTAATGGATATATCCACGCACCTCGTTGAGAATCACACATGTGTTACCTCCATGCGTCCAAGTGTAAACCTTCGTGATAAATTTCTAGTGAATTCGCCTGATGGCTGATGTATTCGATGGGCTAACTGATCTGATCATCCTATCATCCTCCACTAGTGCCCAGCCAGCGTATACCGTTAGTACAGGCGGAAGCACTATTCCGCTATCATTAATTTAAAAAAAATTGTTCCTGCAGAAAACGCCTTTAAATTAAATGCAGGCAAATTGTATAACCTACAATTCTTTATTACAACTTTACATAGTACAAAATAAAGTCGGGGTCGCTGTCTGATCGCTTAGATCAGGGTAGGCGAACCAATGGCACGCGTGCCATTGACGGCACGTGACACAATATTTTGGGAACGTCGTCGATCATAAAACTGTTTAAAGAAGCTGGCTCATGCTATTTTAACAATATTTTCACCTACCTATGCCTGCGAATCATTATTTTCAGAGATGAATAACATTAAAAACTCGGTTAGAAACTGTTTGACACATGAATCCAGTTATGCATGCATTTTGCTGCTTACGTAATGTCAACAAACTAGTTTTACCTAAATGCCGTTTGATGAAAGTCATAATTCGTTTTATGGAAATTGGGTAAGGTTTACAACAAACTCCCAGAGTCTGTAGTCAATTTGTCAGAAAAAAAATCAAATGTGTCATAAGATATTTTCTTTGTAAAAAAACTTATTATAAAATTGAAGAATTTATAAATGATAATAATGTTTTTGTAGAAAATATCTAACTTAAAATTCATAGCGCTGACAATGTTATCTGATTGAACAGAGATTAAGTGCGTAGCGGTTTCTATGTTGATTGTCGTATGCCTAATCCTTGTTGTTAATTAAATGTAAGTAAATCAATATTTATTTAAAAGAGCAACACATAAGTTTCTTGCTTATTCTTCTTGTGATGAATCTGCATTCCGAATAAGCGATAAAATAAAAAAACTTGACTATTCAAAAGTGCTTATATTAAGTTTATTTGAATAAAGATTATTTCTATTTCTATTTCTATTTTGCTAAAAGTAACATCGTACAAGCCTGACATAAATTTTGTCATCTAACCTGCAGCAACAGAAGTCACTCAAATTTTACAGTAATTTAATTTATGCTTGTAATGAAAACAATCCAGAATGTACCTCTTTTGTTTACTTATTTCATAGAGAGTTTTGCTAGTATTTATTAATAGTTGTCCCGCGACTTCCTCCGCGTGGAATTTAACTTTATTTTTCTAAAATAATAGTAGCCTAAGTTACTCCTTATTACATCAGCTACCTTCCAAAAAAGTCCCGTCAAAATCGGTCCTGTTATTTTAGAGATTAGCCGGAACAAACAGACCGACAGACAGACAGACAGACAAAAATTGTAATAAATGTTATTTTGGTGTATGTACCGTATTTGTATTTATATGCATGTAGTAAAAATCGGTTGTTTTAATATTACAAACAGACACTCCAATTTTATTTATATGTATAGATTATTATTTTCCAAATAATCAGAAAGTCAAAATTATTTGATGGCACGTCAATGACCCCATTAAACTTTTTTTGGAAAAAATGGCACGTTGATGCATGAAGGTTCTACCCTTACATCTTTTAAAAGACGCAACCGATTTTAATTCAATTTTTTCGACGCAAGTACATAGATGTAAAATAGCATTGATAAAACTGGTTTGTACTGTTTTTCTTTTTCAATTTTTTATCAAGATCTCTGGAAGACGATGGTTGCGAGAAGTGCAGGACCGATCGTCGTGGATGTTTGGGGGAGGCCATTCTCCATTAGTGGACGTCTTCCAGGCTGTGATGATGATGATGATGATTTTTTTTTTAATTGCACTGTTTTTAAAACTGGTATCGTCCCCAAATATTACATTGTATAGGGCGATATGTTAATCCAGCACTATTGTAAACCATAACCAGTAAGGTGATGATTAAAAATCCTATTGTCTAATTAAAAAGCTTGGTTTATAGTCTCTTTATAGCTCATAACACTGCCACGTAACTATGGCGACAAATTAAATTCCATAAAGCTTCGTGTTCTTAACTACATACATACTAGCTATTACTCTACTTGACGGCCTCGGTGGTCTAGCGGTTTAGCACACCGTCTTACTTCCAATGGTCGCAGGTTCGATTTCCCGCACAGCACAAACATTTGTATTCATGAATATGAATGTTTGTATCGGTCTGGGTGTCTTCTATATATGATATGTATGTGTTTACAAAAAATATATAGATATGTATGTATTTATCAATTATCTAGTACCCATAACCGGCATAACACAAGCCATCTAGACCCAAGTTAAAGTACCTAATAGTTTAACTTGAGATTAGATGGCGCTGTCTGAATTGTCCTGAGATTATCATAGTATAAAACAAAGTTCGCTGTCGCTGTCTGTCCTTCCCTATATATGCTTAAATCTTTAAAATTATGCAACTGATTTTGAAGCGGTTTATTTAAATAGATAGAGTGATTCAAGAGGAAGGTTTATATGTATACATGTACACCGTGCGAAGCCGGGGTGAGTAGCTAGTTATTATTATTATACGAACCACTACATCAATAACCTTTCCTCAGGTTATGAAAATAATAATGTAATAATAATATCCCAACTCACACAGCGCCATCTAGTTCCAAACTAAGCTGAGCTTGTGTTATGGGTACTAGACAACTGATACATATACATATTTTTTCAATAGATTCGTAAAGTACATATGAACACCTAGTGCAGTACAAGCAATCATACTCATGAATACAAATGTTTGTGCCGTACGCAGAAACAACCATTTATGAAGTTTAAAATCTTATATATAAAATTCTCGTGTCACAATGTTTGGTACTATATTCCTCCGAAACGGTAGGACGGTAAGTAAAACGGTAGTTTATATGCATATTCAGTAGGTCTGGGAGTCGGGTACTATCTATTTTTTATACCTAATCTATAAGGATTGTCCACGCCTAACATTTATTTTTTATTTTTTGGACAATTTTATTTTTTAAAATACAAATTATTTATAATTAATTACATATTTACAAATTTATTTAAAAGAGCAACACATAAGTTTCTTGCTTATTCTTCTTGTGATGAGTCTGCATTCCGAATAAGCGGTAGAATAAAAAAACTTGACTATTCAAAAGTGCTTATATTAAGTTTATTTGAATAAAAATTATTTCTATTTCTATTTTTATAATGTAGCATTAAAAAAACATATATCTAACGTTAAATTTTTACCCTTCTATCACCATACCCTATTTTTTTAAAAGCGATTTTAATTTATATGTCAAAAAAACTTTGGCGGGGTCACCTAGTAATATATATAGCTTAATTACTTTATTAAATACTTACTGAGCATAACAAAGATCCGTTGCTCCTAGCCACAGTCTTAGAATCACGGTGGTGACCCACAACAGTTTTTCCGCTGCCATTTTTCTTTTTAAATCTACTTTCTTAATTTCCCTACAGACTCTTTAAACGTGCTATATGAAACATTTTAATATAATCGAAGTTATAATGATTAATAATTTAACTTATATCAACCTTTTTAGTCGCAAAAATATATCCATAATTATCATTAAAAGTATTGTATTCTTACGAACAATTTTTTATAACATTGATAAAAGATTTTCCCGCTCAAACTCACAGATCTGTTATAACCGCGTGAACTTTGACAGCTGCGGCCGAAGCGCGGGAAATGGACATAATGACGGACAGCGTGCAGCGAAAATTCAACATTTGAGTTCCGTTTGAACGTTTCATAATTTAGTCATGCGCATTAAAAATATTCATGTACATTATAAATAGAGTACAACAAGCTGTACCCGCGACTTCGTCCGCGTAAAATACCTTGACCAAATAATGAAAAAAATATTTAATGACCTAACCCAATAAAAACTATATAAAAAGTTCATCATTTCATTTTCAAAAATGACGACACTTCCATACATAATTCTTTCAATCCCTTATAACTCTGTTCTTAATATATATTTAATAAATAGGCTTAAAATTAAACTTCAACCTTCTAGCTTTAAAAATGAAAATATTTCCATATAATCATTTAACTCTCTTTTAAATTCCATACAACCCATTTTTCTTAATATATCTTTTCTTTTTTCATATTTAATCAACAGCCTAAAAATCAGTTTCAGGCTTTGAAAATGGCGATATATCCATACAACCTCGCACCTTTCAAACCCCTTACAACCCTTTTCCACATTAAAAAATGCCCTATGTCCTTTCTCAGGATCTAGACTATCTGTGTACCAAATTTCATTTAAATCGGTTCAGTAGTTTTTGCGTGAATGCGAGATAGACACACAGACAGACAGACAGACAGAGTTACTTTCGCATTTATAATATGTAATATTATGTTATCTGTGATATTAGCAAGGATTATATGTACATGCTATTTTTAGGTTTTTTCTTATTTATTCAATTTGTTTCTCTTTTGTGTTGTGTAAGTTCTTAGATTTATATACTTCAGGCGTGATTTGATACGTTAAGTTTTAATTGTTTAATGCGTTTCTCTAGAGGAGATGACTAACATTAAGTGGAGGGGAGGGGATTATTAGTAATGGAGACCTCGTTGCTAACAATGTGATGCGGTCGCATATAAAAACTATCCTATATATTTTTTAATAAATTTGACATTTATTTATTCATTGTATCAAATACAGAAAAATATTAAAGTAGTAAATACACACAAAGAGGGGGGAAGGGAATTGTTAGTAATAGTGTTGTATTAAAATATAGTAATTGAGGAATATATTTAATATGTTACGAATATAGTGACATAGTTTCGTGTTTTTCTACAATGTCAATCAACAGCTAGATAAATAATAAATATGACGTTGGTCTATAAAAAGTATCTATTATACCACATTACGAATGGAAAACAAAGCTTCTAGTCTCTATAAACCTAATCGTGCTGGTAGTTTCCGCTGGCGTTGCGAACGACGTGGCACTTGCAGCTGCGGTGTTGTGGTAGTGGCAGTGGCGCCACGTGATGTCGACGGAAAAGTTGCATCCTCATCTTGAAACACTATTGGACCCTCAGGATGTTGCGCGCTCGTAGAGGGTATCGGTGATAGCTGGTTTCTATAATCACCATGTTGTAATTGATCCTCTGTGTCTATACGTTTATAGTAGTGGGTGTAAGCACTTGTAGGGTCATCATCCTGACTGCCGCTCAATCTTGGACGTAATTGATCGGAATGCTTACGGTTACGAATTCCATTTGAAAACTCCACCTCGTAAGAGTATGGTCCGTTACATTTCGTTATTATTGCAGGATCTGATCCCTTTGTCAAGGGCTTATTTACCCAAACCTTATCTCCAAGTTTATATGTTGGTGGGACAACTTCTTTGTTTGTTGGTCTCAACTCCTTATATAATCGCGTTCTTTCTAGATCGTCTCGGATGTTAGGTTTCAATAAATCGAAGGTAGTACGCATTGTTCTTCCAAACATCGCTTCGTAAGGGGTTCTGTTCGTTGAACGTCGGGTTGTGTTCCGGTATGCCTGAAGAATTCTGTTAAGGCGTCCATGTATGTCAATATTCTTATCCGAGGCAAGCATACGTTCTTTGAATGTTCGGACAGCACGTTCAGCTAACCCATTAGTTCTAGGGTGATATGGTGTTGTTTTTATGTGTGTTGTGCCGATACTCTGACAGTAGCTTCTAAATTCGCTTGATATGAATTGAGGGCCATTATCTGTAACTATATATTTCGGAATACCGAATGTGGCGAATATGTTGTCTAGACGACTTATTGTTGCTCCTGATGTTGTTGATTTCATTGGTATAACTTCCAGCCATTTTGTATAAGCATCTATTGCTATAAGCCACATGTACCCGAGAAATGGTCCCGCAAAATCTATATGTAATCTATGCCATGGTTCCGGCGGCACTCCCCAAGGGTACACCGGTGCAGAGTTAGTGTTGGTTTTTGAAGATTGGCATAATTTGCAATGTTTCGAAAAATTTTGAATATCTTTGTCTATGTTTGACCAGTACACATGCAATCTTGCCAGTGACTGCATAGCATTTACCCCATTATGTCCGTCATGTAACATTTCTAGTATGGCTGATTGTAATTTTTTTGGTATACATAGTCTTCCGTTCCACAGGATAATTCCATCTTCAAATGACAATTGTTCTCGTTTCTCGAAGTAAGTATGCATTTCTATCGGTAGTTCTTTTTTTTCCGGCCAATAATTTGTTATGAAGTTTTTGATTTTGTTAAGGTTTATATCGTTAAGTGTCTCTTTTCTAAGTTTTTGTTTTGTTACGGGTATATTACTCAGTCTAAGATGTAAGAGATGGGCAAATTGGGGTAACCCTGTTCGTTCTTCTATAGTTAAATCAGAGTTTGGCAGCGGTAATCTTGAAAGTGCATCTGCTGGAGTATTCTCCTTAGCCGTGTGGTAATTTATGGTGTACTCGTAACTGTTTAAGATCATGGCCCATCTAAGTAATCGGTTGCTTGCGACTTTGGGTGTTTCTCTTTCTTGACTAAAAATACGTTCAAGAGGCTTATGATCTGTTAGCAAAGTAAATTTTCGTCCATAAAGGTATTGATGGAACTTTGTTACTGAATAAACAATCCCTAATGCCTCTTTGTCGATTGTTGAGTATCGACGTTCTGTTTCGGAAAGAGTTCTGGAGGCGAATGCGACTGGACGCATGATGTTATTAATTTTATGAAATAACACTGCTCCAATTCCTTTATCAGAGGCATCGCTACTGACGTAGATAGGCTGTTTCTCATCATAGTGGACAAGTGTTTCGTTCGATGTTAAAATGTTTTTCAGATCGTTTGTTATTTGGGTATCCTCGCTGGTCCAATCCCATTTTTGGTTCTTCTTCAAATGACGATACAACGGTGCACATCTAACATGTAAATTGTCTATAAATCTACCATAGTATGTAATGGAACCCAAAAAGGATCGTAATTCGGCCACGTTCATTGGAGTTGGCATTTTTTTGATAGCTTCAACTCGCTCCGATGTTGGGTGTAAACCGTTTTTATCAATCTTATGACCAAGGAAAGTTACACTCTCCTGTAACCAGAAACATTTAGTTATCTGACTTTTAATACCTGCTTCTTGTAGCCTTTGTAAGACTGTTCTGACTCGTTTTATGTGCTCATGTCGGTTTTCCGCCGTTATCAAAATGTCATCGAGGTAACATACAACACCATCCAGCCCACTTAGGATTTGATGCATGGTTCTTTGAAAAACTGCTGGTGCAAAAGATATACCAAAGGGTAATCTTTTATACTGGAAGTAACCCTTGTGTGTTGAGATCGTTAAGTACTTCCTGGAGTCCGGGTGTACCAATAATTGAAGGTAGGCGTCTTTAAGGTCTATTTTTGTAAACAATTGACCCCCAGCTAATTTGGATGTAATTTCCTCAAACCTTGGTAAGGGGTAGTCATCAACTTGTACATGCTGGTTGATCGTTACTTTGAAATCAGCACAAATACGTACGTTTCCATTAGATTTAATTGCAATGACTATAGGTGATGCCCACTCAATCGGCGTTACCATTGTATCAATATGTTCTAGAACCCCCTCTCTTACTAAACGCTGTAATTCGTCGTTGACTTGGTCCTGTAGGGCTAATGGAACTGGTCGTGGTCTGAAAGCCTTAGGACGTACATTGTTAGGAATATGGATCTTGGCAGTATGACAGTTAATTGTACCTAATTTCCCATCAAATAGTGTTTTAAAGTCCTTTAGTAAACATTCAACCTCATCCTTATTATGTTGTCCTGTTATAGGGGAATTGTTTTTGTTATGGGTTCTTTTATGTTACAGAGCCGAGCCCCCGGTGGCATAGGTAGGTTGAATTGTAAACACCAATTTAATCCAAATAAAGGTAAGTCATTATGTTTTGTTACATAGGCTGACAATATCTTCACACTATTAAAGGCCATTACGGTTATGTCGCAGATTCCCAGAGTCTCGATCTTGACGTCTGTGTAGGCAACAAGATTCTTACATTTTTTTAGTGTTGGTCGACCAATTGCTTTCCATAACAATTTGCCAATAACTGAGTGTACTGCCCCAGGGTCATATAACATATCAACTTCTATACTGTTAAGTTTCGTCGATATCATAATTTTGCTGGCAGGATTACGAAAACCAACCGCACGAGTGTGTGTGCTCTCAGCATCAGAATCTTCATTTTCGCTATCAGTACGATGTTTCTTTATTGAAACTTGTCTTGTATTATACTTGTTTATTTTTAAATGACCACTACCTATACAAACGCTCGAGAAATGGTTCATTTTATTGCAAGCATTGCATCTTTTCCCCTTTGCAGGACAGTCGTTCAAATTTTGGTGGTATTTTCCTCCACAAAATATACATTTTTTTGAGGGAATGTTTGTTTTCTTTCCGGGTTTTCTATTGTTGTTGATGTTAAGTTTGTTTACAGCTTGCGGTGATTCATTAGTAGTTTCCATAGTAGTATAATTGTTGTTTGTTAAACGTTGACTCTGTATTTCTGCTTGTTCCAGTTTGTTCAGTGTAGCGATAATATCAGCAAGTTTCGAATCATTCGTTGGATGTTCTTTGATGAGTTCCTGTTGCCATGTAATGTTATTAATGCCGATTACTAGTTGATCTCGAATTCGTTCTTCTAGTGTATTTCCGAATTCACAGTATCCAGCGAGTGAACGAAGTTGTAGTATAAATTGTGAAATTGTCTCATTTTCGTTTCTATATCTTGTAGCAAAAGATAACCGTTCGGAGAGAACGTAGGTCTTCTTGCCATAATATTCATGTAGTACTTTAATAAGTTCCTCGTAAGTTTTCGATGTCACGGGAGTCGGTCGAAAATAATCCACAAGTACCTTGAATGATGTTGGACCGATTCGGGAGAGAAGTAATTGTTTTCTCTTATTATTACTATCTGATGTTGTTCCGTCAAGCCCATGAAGTTGTAACTCGATCTCAAATCTTTGTATATAGTAATCCCAGTCTTCTGTATTGTTGTCAAATATATTAAAATTAAAACGTTCCAACGACATCTCGTCGCCAAATTTATGTTGTATTAAAATATAGTAATTGAGGAATATATTTAATATGTTACGAATATAGTGACATAGTTTCGTGTTTTTCTACAATGTCAATCAACAGCTAGATAAATAATAAATATGACGTTGGTCTATAAAAAGTATCTATTATACCACAAATAGGACCTAGTAACTCCCATTGTTAGCAATGTACCATGTTAGGTCGACCTCCACGCGGTTCCCCCTGGAAGCCATCGTGATAAATTCTTGGCGAATTTGTCACGATGGACTAACTGACCTGACCTCATGTTCATCTTATCATCCTCCACTGGTGCCCCGCCAACGTAAACCGTTAGCGCAGGCAGGTGCACCATTCCATTATCATATAAAAAAAAATACACACAAAGAAGCGGTCTTATCGCTAAACATTATGTTCATCTTGTTATCTTCCATTGGTGCTCCGCCAGCGAAAAACATTAGCGCAGGCAAGTGCACCATTTTATTATCACATTTGTCACAAATAAGATCGTATTTACTATTGTCAATTAATTTTTGGTTTCTTTCATAATGGCAATACCGACTCTTATAAGGACTCCCTCCCTTCTACACTTTACGTATAACCACAGATAACATAATATTGAATGGCCCCTAAATTATAGCGTTACTTGGTCTCTCGCATAAAAGATCATAATAAAAAAAATACAGGCATGAATTTTTATCAAATTCTATGTTATTTTGCGGAAGTCCATTTCTACACTACTTATCATCATTGCTTTGCCTTTATCCCTGCTCTCTATCGGTCGTCATATCTAAACATATTCTTCTTTTATTCATATCATCTTTCACACAATCTATCCATCTTTTCTTAGGGCGTCCCCTCCCTTTACATCCATCCACATTCATATTATACACTTTCCATAAGACATGGTCCTCATTCCTCCGCATAACATGCCCATACCACCTCAATCTGTTACCTCGCAACTTTTCTATAAGCGGCGCAAATTTCAAACTTCCTCGTATATACACATTCCTTATTCTGTCATTCCTGGTAACCCCACACATCCATCTTAACATTCGCATTTCTGCCACATGCACACGCCTTTCGTCCATCCCCTTGAGTCTATAACTATATTGCGACACGTGTTTCGCCTCTGAACAAAGCATCATCAGGCATTGGAATAGAGTTCTGATATAATTCAAAATATCTTTATTCATGTAGATCTATTACACTCTTATGATATGTCAAATCAACCGTCAGTTCGGAATGATTTCGAGATGAGAAGAACTGACAAGAAACTCAGCTCGTATTCTTTTCTTTTACATATTTACAATAATGCTGATTAATTTTTAAATTGAAATACAGCTTGATATATTGATATAGCTTGGAAGCCTAGTGTTAAATGGCGCAGTTTGGTCGCCGAAGGTCGTAACAGTCAAGTTTCCACTTTGAATATTTGTGGTTTTAGTGAATATGTCACGATGGGCTAACTGACCTGACCTCATGCTCATCATATCATCTGCCACTGGTGCCCCGCCAGCGTAAACCGTTAGCGCAGGCGGGTGCACCATTCCATTGTCATCAATAAAAAAAAATATTTGTGGTCTCACAAATGCTAATTGTAGCAGAATTGAACAAAATAATATAATAATAATAATCTCAGGACAATTCACACAGCGCCATCAAGACCCAAGTTAAGCTAGCTAAAGCTTGTGTTATGGGTACTAGACAACTGATACAAATACATAGATATTTTTTTTTGTAAATACATACATATTATATATATAGAAAACACCCAGACCGATACAAACAATCATACTCATGAATACAAATGTTTGTGCCGTGCGAGGAATCGAACCCGCGACCATCGGTCGTAAAGCGGTGTACTAGACCGCTGGACCACCGAGGTCGTCAATAAATAAAATAAATAAATACATTAAGCAGACATAATAATTGCAAACTGAGTTCTATTTATTCGCTGATTACAGCATTATTCCTTGCAATACTGCAGTTCTCTGAAGCCTATTATTGGCTGCGGACATCGACTAGTGGCTTACGACCACTTAAGCACGTTTGTTCAATCGCTTTACCTCCACAACTCGGTTCTATACATAGATCTAACAGACGGACAGAAACAAACATCAATTTATACGACTATATTTTAAGTTACAATCATCTTCACGCAGAGGAAAGAGGATTGTTAGTAATAATGGCTGTGGTAATACGGACTAATCGAGTATATTAAATGATATGACATGTAGCACGCTGCCTCACTTCCGATAGTTTTTTTTTATGGATGATAATCTAATGGTGCACCCGCCTGCGCTAACGGTTTACACTGGCGGGGCACCAGTGGAGGATGATAAGATGAGCATGAGGTCAGGTCAGTTAGCCCATCGTGACTAATTCACCAGGAATTAAACACGATGGTTTCCAGGGGGAACCATGTGGAGATCGACCTGACAAGGTACATTGCTAGCAATGGGGTTATCGATCCACATTACTAACAATCCCCTTCCCCCCAATGGACGCGGGTTCGATTCCTGGCATGGCACAGATATTTGTATTTATGAGTATGGTTGGAAGCTATCGTGCTTGCCATTTGCCAAGATGTCAGGTCAGATAGCGACCTGAATTCATGCTCATTTTATAATCATTCCATTATCACTCTTCGGACATCGTCGGCTCGCCGGACTGGAGTCCGCGAGCAACGCTGCGGGGCGCGGCTCGAGAGGAATGCGAATAGCACCAGACCGACCGGCCCTCTCTTCTGATCTCACCACCGAATAGGTACTACACGCGCGCACAATATTCTCTCATACTCTGTATTTTTTATATTTAAACTAGCTTTTGCCCGCGGCTTCGTCCGCGTTAATTTATCCCCTTGGGAGTGGAATTTATCAAAATCCTTTCTTAGGGGATGCCTACGCCATAGTAGCATTATGCGTGCAAAGTCTCAGCCTGATCGGTTTAAAATTGACAAACTTTCATCCCCTATTTTATCCCCTTGGGGGTAGAATTAATCAAAATCCTTTCTTAGCGGATGCCTACGTCATAACATCTACCTGCATGCCAAATTTCATCCCTATCCGTCCATTGGTTTGGGCTGTGCGTTGATAGATCACTATGTCAGTCACCTTTGAGTTACATATATTTAGATTATTATACGAAACTACAGTCCAATCAATCTTTCATTTAAAAGTCCTTAGTGTAGATCCCTGCAATCCATAAAAAAAACTCTTCACGCTTTACTACTGCAGACTTCACCTAATGTTAAGTTAATTTAAAAAACTGCTTAATGGAATAATTTCTAGTCTATATCTAATAACAGGATTCCTAAAACAGAAAATACTTAGTGTTCATTAATTTATTTCCAAGCATTTGCGAGCCGCTTTATAAGGCTCCCTAAAATATGGTTGAACGTAATAATGATTGAGCCATTGGCCCTACCCTAGAATAGATGATATCCGAAGGGGCGTGTCTGCTATAATCACTATAACTGGTTTATATTGGTAGCTAGCATTCTCATCTTATATTTGCAATTGGTGTCCCACCAGCAACTGTAATAATAATTAGTAATGTTAGGAGGCAAGATCTAAATACTACAAGTATTTTCCCTCCTTAAGGACTACCTATATGCTAAGCATAAGGTAGTCTATTTATACAGGGCGTTACTAATAAATAATAGATAATGAAATAATAGTAATAATAATAATAATAGTGAGGAATCTATTAATAACTCGAGGATATTAATAGATTCCTCACTACATATATAACGATACGATCTATTAAGTCTGACGTAACAGGATATTTTATAATTAACTTCAATATAGAAATAATAAAAATATCGATTATGGCTGTACGGCGCTATCAATATGACCATAGTGTTGTATTATTAAATAAAACTAGATTAATTAATAATTAGGATTTAATAAACTATTTCATAGATAAAATGTAAATGAAATCTTCTACTATAGGCTTCACAACTACTAGTTTATTTTCTTGCTAACGTTAAGAATTAAATATATTTTACGGCCCTGGAAATTCCCTTTCAGCCAATAAATAATGAATCAGAATGAGACCAACTTAGGATATTTTCCCTAAATTTCGTGAAAATTAACATTCAATCAATCAATTTTAGTTAATTTTTTACTGTAATTGTATGAAAAGAAATAATACATTTAAATTTCTAAATTAGAACCATGATATTTATAGTTATAATAGATAAGTATAGTTTTTTATACCAAAGTTTAGAGCGTTTAAAACAATGAAACCAAGTATTTAGATAACATTTTAATAATTTACTAATAGTTTAATAAAGAACAATAGAATAAATCTTTCATACCGAAATGGAGCTTATTATAATAAAAAGATACTGAAACCAAAATAATAATGGTAATAAGAAGTATTTATTCGCATAAGTTATATTAAAAAATGAGAGAATAAATAAAACTATCATAAAAGTTAATGACCGCTACCTAATAATTTTCCGATTATTATATATATCTTGTTGCAAGATTTTTTAATCGTACAAAATAAATCACTATGTTCACAAAACAAATAAAAAATTATTTTTTAATATGCAAATTAAAAAATATATGTAAAATCTTGGAATGTGAAAGATTAAATCGGGTAAACGTTTATATGAGATGGCAACTGGCAAACCTTCAGAAAAAAAAAATTAAACTGATAAGTTTTGTTGTTTATTTTATAGTACCAATCGACTTATATTAGAATCATGTGTAAACCGTGTATATAAATTATTATTTTAATTTTCAACACTTACAAGAAAATTACTATGACGGAAGTGCAGCGTAGTGATAAAATCGAAATGATTACATTACACAAGTTTCTCATCGTGTTTTTCGGTTTATTATTATTTTACGATTATTATTATACCACTGTGCCGGTTGTAGCGCGAATCGCGAATCCAAAATTCACTCTTCTCGGCCCTTACAATACAACAGAAGCATCCACTGATGATGTATACGATCAACTGATTGATATAAAGAATTTCAGCTTCAAAGTGAATCCTCAGCCGTGTCAGGAGTACACTGCAGGTATACTTTTAGTCGTCATCATATCTTCAAACCCTTTGAATTACGACAACAGGGTAATTATAAGGAATACATGGGGTCGTGCTATTGAATCCACTAAAGTTGTGTTCTTAATGGGTGAGCCAGACAACGTTACTGTAGCCCAGAAGATTCAAAACGAGAGTATAAACTATGGGGATATAGTCCAAGGTAATTTTGTGGATGTATACCGTAACTTGACTTATAAGCATGCTATGGGTCTGAAGTGGGTTACACACCATTGTCCAATGGCAAAATATGTTTTGAAAACGGATGATGATACGGTTGTGAACTCGTATGAGATGAGACATTTTCTTGCAAGGGAGTTGTCACCGTGGGGTGCTAAGAACCTGATCACCTGTCAGGTGTTGGAGCATGCCCAGGCGCAGAGGTCTGATAATTCGAAGTGGAAAGTTACGACTGCTGAATATGCAAATCGATATTATCCAACATACTGTGCAGGTTAGTTTGTTTTATTTTGTTAATTACATGAGACATGTGTTAAGACTTGATGAGACAGCTTTCAGAATGAGGTAGATAAAAACATTGTTATGTCTATTCAAAAGTGCTTACATTTAAGTTTATTTGAATAAATGATTTTCTATTCTATTCTATTGTCAGATGCTAAGACCTATAGCACTGCGACCTGTATAGATGCGCTTGCCCTTATTCAACAGATTCCCACAACAAATCTGCTAAAGTCTTGGTGACTGATTGCAAGATATGTATATGGAAATAAAACTAGGTCTATTCTGGCTTCCCAGTATGGGTGTTAAAATTTACAATAAGATACCGAAGGATGTACTGGAATTACCCTTAAAATTCAAAACATCTGTTAAATCATATTTACTGAGCAAAGCAGATTGCTGTGGCAGGTTGCCATCATCACCATGACCACACAGATAATTTCAATATCTTAATAATATAGTCGTAAGTCTTTATACATGTAGGTCTATTACTGACTCTTATGATATGTCAAATCTACCGTCAGTTCGGAATGATTTCGAGACGAAAATAACTGACAAGAAACACCCATATTATGGGCATAGTAGCCTGATATAAATAATATGAAGAATAAAGCCTATTACTCACTAAATGATTACTTAAATGATGAGTGTGCATCACAAGATGTTTTTTTTTTATTGTATATATTATCCTTCTACAGGGATAATGTATCAAATTAATAGTGTATAAACCATAGTTCAATATTTATGGAGATGTTGGTATTTTCATATCTCTAATAATATTTTTATTCTTAAAACAAATGAATGCGAAGCACATTTGAAATTTGAAATAAATATGAAGAAGTTTTTATGTCTCCTACAAATGGGAAAAGAATTTTTGAAATTCATCCAATAAGTTTTGTTATATATAAAAATACAACTCTTTCCTCTTCAAAATAGGACTGACTTTTCTGTACAACTTTGACTGCATCACTATGTATGACAGATTTATACAGAAGCCTTCTACACTCCAATTATTTATTTATTTGCTTTATTGACCACTAAAATTGGTACAAAAGGCGGACTTAATGATATAGCATTCTCTCCCAGTCAACCTTTGGAATGTGCAGAGATACACAAATGCGGAAATAGAATTATAATAAAAAAATACACATAAATACGTACATGAAATTATTATGAATATGTCAGCTTGAATATGAACACTAATCCTCGGAACGGTAAGGTCGTTCCATGAAGTCTCTTAAGACATCGGTGACTTCTACGCTTCCGAGAGAAGCTTTGCTGTCTACTTTAGTAATCTCAGCTCTATATGTATAAAGGCCCAGATGAGAGGCTGTTTGCCGAAGATAGATTCCAATTTACATTACATTACCTTATGATTGTGAATACTTTTTTATTCTCAAACTGTTCTAATGCTGTTGACCACAACTGGTCTATACAGCATAAACGAACAATCGGGGTGAGCGCAGTTAGGCACTGCAAACCCGCGGAAAGACTTAAGGAACAAGTGAAGGCCAACTGCTGCTTTTTACACAGCAGAAAGTTGTATCAAACTTTATGCTGTGTAAAAAAAAGCTTGACTTTGGAGTAAATACAAAAGTGTAAATTTTTGCTGTATATTAATTTTTATTAAAACATTTGTCACCACTGCTATAATAAACGCGAAAGTTTATGAGTATCGATAGATGTTTGTTATTATTTCACACAAAAACTATTAAACTGATTTGGATGAAACTTTACAGTAATATAGCTTATACATCAGAATAATAAATAGGCTATACTTTAAAGAGTAATTTTTTAAATTGTAAATTGATATATAATGATAACTGTAATGCAGGCGAAGTCGCGTGGGTCAGATAGTTCTATATATTTTTTTTAATTAAAATATTATTTGTTTGTTAATTTCAGGTTGGGCCATCCTGTACTCCCAAGATGTGGTACGTCGTCTCCTAAAAGCAGCACAATCAATGCCGTACTTCTGGATTGATGATGTCCAAATAACAGGAATCTGTGCACAGCAGATTGGAGTTGCAAGAACTCCATTGGGGAACCTCATCCTTTCCTGGCATAAAGCTAACCTGCTCACCTCTTTAGGTCCAAAATACACGGGTACATTCATCTTTGGACCTCCTGATCTCAAGTCTGCCAAAATCGCACAAATTTGGAAGGCCATACCTGAATGAGGTACTTCTAAAGTCAATGAGCTTCATTATTATTACTATTGTTTTTGTTTATACTACGATAGTGGCAAATAAGCTTACGGCCTTCTGATGGTAAACGGTTATTGTAACCTACGGACTCTGAAACAACAGGGGTTTCACGTGCTCGTTACCGACCCTTAAGAAACCTGTACGAAGTTTCTTAAGGGTCGACAATGTGCACGTGAAAATCCCCATGCTATAGTATCTCGAGGAAACCTCGGCAGGTAGTTCATTCCAGAATCCAAGTGTACACGGGAGGAAGCTCCCCTAAAACCGCACTGTCCAAGACCACTTCGATTCCAAAGCGTGGATATGAATTTCCTGTCGATGGCGAACTGTGCGATGGTAAAACGTAGCCGTAGGCATCACGTCGAACAACTCTTCAGAACAGTACTTATGTTGTCTAAATATGGCCCGTGACCATTGGAAGTAAGTATCCACGGAGGCCGTGGATACTTACTTCGAATGGTCAATGGGTTTGATTCCTTGCACAATGCAAATATTTGTAATCATGAGTATTATTGAATATATTGTTTTAGTATTTCAATATTTCTATCAGTTGTACAGTACCCATCGAAGATTGAAGCTAAAACTGTCATGATTTCTGAAATGAATGTTAGAGTAAATAATGTTTTATAGAAATGAGCAGAAGGTGCAAATTTTATTTTTTATATAACAGTATAATTATACTGTTATATAAAAAATACATTTATTATTGTTATGTTATTAAGGATGTGATACTAAATGAATACTAAATATTATGTTAAGATAAATGTGTACAGTATTATATGTTAGTGTGAGATGTAACTGCACAATATCACATTAATTTAGAGTCGCCAACCGTCCTGCTTTACCAGGATATCTCCTAGTTTTTCCTAGTGTACTGAATGTTAATTACAGCGTCCTAAGTTTTAAATCTTAAAATTCGCACGCCTCTTTTAATAACATCTTTGACCGCGTTTAATTTTTATTCAAAAATATGTTTATTTTAATTACTTGAATTTCATTCAATCTATTTTTATTATATGTTAATATCACTATTACGACTCTGTCGCTGTGTCCTGTTTTTAAACCGAATTGTCCTGTTCCAAATTGAAATTCGATTTTTTTTATTTGGTGTTGGCAACCCTGCATTGATTAATTATATTAGACATGTAATGACGGATTTTGCAGTGGGCTTGTAAATATTGTATACTAGATATTACCCGCGTCTTAGTCTGCTTTTTCTTTCATAAAAGATAACTTCTGTATCCTTGTTTTTGTTGCAATATATGTATTTTTTCTTTCTTTAATATAAAATTTTATGAAATAATCACGGAATAAACATATATTATGTTTATTCCATAGTTTAGACAACTACATCTTGATCATATCTTTATATGGAATGCATATATTTAATATCCAACGGCGGCATTTGTCCTCTCAACATCTACCTTTTTATGGCAGTGTTGCCATGAAATGGTGGATGTTGTGATGATGATGATGATGCTGTGATGTTGAGAGGACAAAGGACTACTCCAGAGTTCGGATATAGAGAGCATTTGACTACTCTAATGCTGTTAGCCGCACTGGCCTCTACAGCTTCACCAGACGAAAGGGAGCGATACTGATGGCACTCCAAACCCGCGGAAGGACTTATGGAGCGGCTGAAAGTCAACTCCCGCCTGAGGGATACGAGTCTGAGGCCACCACTGAGGGTTCGAACCTCGGCTCGGCAGGCCGTCGTAATTTCAATCCTCGTTTGAATTGGAAGGGGATGGATCGGAAAGAGTTATTTATAAGTATACTAGCTGTACCCGCGACTTCGTCCGCGTAAAATAGTGACCTTGACCAAATAATAAAAATAATATTTAATGACCCAATCCAATAAAAGCCAAATGAAAAAGTTTCATTGTTTCATCTTCAAAAATGACGACACTTCAAATAAATAACTCTTTCAACCCCTTATAACCCTTTTATCGCATTCAAAAGTAGCCTATGTCCTTTCTCAGGGTCTAGACTATCTGTATACTAAATTTCATTTAAATCGGTTCAGTAGTTTTGGCGTGAAAGCGAGACAGACAGACAGACAGAGTTACTTTCGCATTTATAATATTAGTAAGAATATCACTCGTTTTATATATAGTTAATGCACTATACATTACAATGCAAACCATCATTACATGTCATTAAAATCAATTAGGCTGTTTGTGACACTTCGTGACTGTTCCTGAATGACAGACACGGCAGTCGTGACAAGGTAACAAACAAACGTACATTGCATTTATTATGCTACTATTACTATCGGCTTTGTATGCCTTGAGACAACAGATACTCCATCTTTCTTGTCCAGTAACAAAACCGTACAATTCAAGGAATCATATTGTAATATATAGTTTAGTAGTAATAATATTGTCAGATATATATATATACGATATATATATCAAATATATAGTTTAGTAATAATAATAAATTGTCATTGCGCCGGTGTCAGAGAGGTTGAAGAGTAATCGTCTATCGTGGTATGGACATGTAACGCGTAGGAATGAGGATAATATTTTAAGAAAGGTTACATATGAATGTGGATTGTTATAAGGGCAGAGGAAGACCGAAAAATAGATGGATGGACTGTGTGAAGATGATATGATAAGAAAGGAAGTAAATAACGAGATGACTGCGAACAGGGATGAATGGAAGAGAAAAACATATTACGCCGATCACAAATAAATGGGATAAGGAAGAAGCAGATGATGAGTTTAGTAATAATAATAAATAAATAACCCTGGACAATTAACACAGCGCCATATAGACCCAAGTTAAGCTAGATAAATCTTGTGTTATGGGTACTAGATAACAGATACAAATACATAGCTTTTTTTTCTTAAATACATACATCATCATTACATAGTATAAAATAAAGTCGCTGTCGCTGTCTGTTCATCCGTGTGTGTGCTTAAATCTTTAAAACTACGCAACGGATTTTGAAGCGGTTTTTTCAATACATAGAGTGATTCTAGAGGAAGATTTATATATATATATATATATATATAATACATGGTACACCCGTGGAAAGCCGGGGTGAGTAACTAGTTACTATAGAAAACACCCAGACCGATACAAACAATCATGAATATAAATGTTTGTACCGTGCGAGAAATCAAACCCACGACCATCGGAAGTCGTCAGGATATATGATTACTTGAATTGCATGAAAAATTATATGATCTACTATTAAGGTCCCATATGTGGCCTATCAGAGATCTGTTAAGTTAAAAAGGGATTTTGTGCCTTATTGTTAAACAAATAAGTTATAAAACAGCATGTTATTCTGTAATGTTTATTTTTGTAAACTTGGCCATATTATCCGGGTAATTAATATATGAAAATTGAGTATTATTAATATTATTTTAGTATAAATTACTTTTGTTATCTTATGGTTTTTGTACGTTCAATAATTTTGACTATATTTAAATATCAAAGCATATAATAACATAATTACAGTCATCTGTCGTTCTGAAACCGACTTAATGTTTATATACATACAGTTTATTGTTATATATAGTTATTTACACTTTACGTAATGTGATCTGTACTAGCTCAGTATTGGGTACGATATCCTATGAATACATTGATTCTCCAAGAAACAAACGAACTTCTCGCAACATATATGATAGACGTGATACGGTGCCACGCTTGAGAAAGAACGAGACAGCAAACTTTGACAGTTTCATTCTATCTCATTCATTCGACACGAGAACATATCTGTTAATAGACATTTGTCTACAACCTCGTTTGAGAAAGAACGAGACAGACAATCTTAGCAGCTCGTTCTAACTCGTTCGTTCGGGACGAAAATGTATCTGCTATTAGCTTGATACTTGTTGACTTCCTTGAGAAAGAACGAGACAGAGAATTTTGGCTGTATCGTTCTATCTCATTCGTACAGCAGGAGAATGTATCTGCTAATAATTCGACACTTGTCTACAATAGAGTATAAGTAAAGAAAAGATATATATTGTTATTTTCTCAGGAGATTCATAAATGTATATATTATACTTAGACACTTTGTGATAAACTGCATGCCATTGCCTTATGTAAGTGTATAACAGAATCTATACAAAATATAATTGTTGTTATCAAATGTACTTTCATTCGCAACAAACTCTATAACTTAAACCCATGAATTGGATACCAAGAGGATGTTTCATAAGCAGTGGCGTAGCTACCTAGAGGCTAGGCTGGGCCCTCGAACCCATACCAGAAAATCTCGATCTAATTGAACTTTTGAAAATTTCTCCTATTTTCAAAATAAATATGACAGGTTGCAACCCGATTTTAATCATGGCAACTCAGTTGAGAGAAATTCGAAAGTTATACCTTTGGAATTCCTCTAAATTTATTCTGTAGGTTGGCAGTTTGACGGATAGCGATATGTGCATTTTAATAAAACTATAATGTAGCCCCATTTTTTATTTGCCTCAGGGACCTTGGTTACCTAACTACGCCACTGTTCCCAAACTGTCGATTGAGACACATAATTTGAATTTCTTCCAACAACTGTAAACTTAGAATCATATTAGATTCAATCCACGATTTGCTTCGCGTAATCAAAATGTCCGTCAGAATTTAAGTCTTGCTTCGTCAAAAATACGACTTGCTTCTATTTTGAGATAAGCAGTAACTGTATTGTCTATCAATACATATTTGTCTGGCTCCATTTCTATTGTTCATTATTATTTAGGCTCGTTGTGTTTGGGGTACCCATAATTTGGCCTTTCTTTAATGCCTAATTTCTTAATCCTAAATATATTTAAAAACTTAAAATATAACTTGGTCATTCTTTAATTTAAAATTCCTTAATTCTAATTACATCTGACATCTAAAAATATTACTTGACTGGAATATATAATTACTACTTCGAATCACAATATCAATCGCTCGTATTGTTAATTAGGACATCTACATCTGTTGTCTTATCCTCAAATACGTCTTTTTCAACATTACTTTTAAAATATACCGTGTTTTACGAAGAAACTGATTTTGTATCTTATTTTACCACATTTTCTTTATTAATCAATGTCATTTGTACTTCGGGATCTACGTTCTTTATACCTTTAAAGCTATTTTCAATTGCATGTAATGTCCGATCTTTTGTTTCTGGTAACAACACATACATTATCAACAGGAAGACTGTTAAAGTAACTGAGTATACTAGGAACGCACCTTCCACTCCTACTGAGGAATACAAATGGGGTGCTGTCTTCATAGACACCACAAATGAGGGTGTTAAAAACGATGTCGATATAGTAGACCCTAAACTTCTATAAGCTAAAGGAAACACTTCCCCACATATCACCCAATTCAAAGGCACTAATCCTAAACAAAACGACAATGTATATGCAACCATTAATGCCATCGGAACTATATCTAACATCCACGGCTGGTCAAACAATCCAGCCTTTCTCATATACACAAAAACTGATATAGAAGTCAGAGATATCACAGTCAAAGCACCACTTGTGAATAATATTGTTCTTCTTTTGAAGTACTTCAGCAAGAATATAGCCACGAACGCACAGACAGTCCTCAATAAGTCGATCACAGTGAACTGCCATGCAACATCTTTTGCGTCAGCTTTGTCTAAAACAGCCTGTAATATTATGTTGCCGTATGCTGCTACCATATGTGCACCACCAAATTCGAATACAATTAACATACTAATAGCTATAATAGCTGGCTTATAGAACTCTTTCTTCTTAAATATTCTCAATATTCGTTTAATTCCGTCCGACGTTGATTTAAATAAATTCTTGACGGTCATCTTAACTTCACTATTACGGTCGTCTTCAACTGCCATTTCTTCTTTTTGCGCGTTAATCATAGCTTCTAATTCTTCTTGTTGTTCATTCCCGTCTCCTCTAACCCATTTGAAGGCTTTTTTTGCTTCCTCAAATCGTCCTTTAGATACCAACCAACTAGCTGATTCAGGGGAAAGACTTATAATTGCCATTGATATTAGAGGGAACAGCGAACAGACAGTCGCTGTCATTTTCCATGTCAGATGGGCACCCCAAAGGTGGGAGAGAAATATCCCAAGGCCTAATGATATGGCAAAGGTTCCGAGAAATGCTCCTCTGTATTTTGGATCTGTGTATTCTGCGACAAGAATTGCGGCCAATGGTGTTCGGAGACCTAGAGCTAGGCCGTGGAGTAGTCTGGCTGTGAGGAAGGCGGGTACGGAGTTGCCTAGGACGAAGACGATCCAGCCTAGCAGCGCTGGGACAGTGGAGATGAGATGCGCCTTCTGGCGGCCGAAGCGCGTCATCAGTACTGGTGATATGAAGTTGCCGACGATGCCCATTACGCCGACCACTGACGCTGAAATTTAAAAGACACTATATGATAAATCATGAGTAATTTCAAATTAAACCATATCAAAATTTTTATTACGACCTCGGTGGTTAATATTAAGTATAATAAAAAACTCTTTATTGTACACATAGAAAAAAATACAATAAGAAACACAGTACCAGTACTAGCTTTTTAGCCCATAACTACTTCCGATGGTCGCGGGTTCGATTCCTCGCACGGTGCAAACATTTGTATTCTTCCATTATCTTTTATTTATAATGCCTTATTGCACCAACATAAATGGGATAAGGAAGAAACAAATGAAGACTTCTTTTAGATAATTGCCTGCGGTTTCTATAGATGAAAGAATATACCTATCCAGGAAGTGTCATGGTCAGTCAGAACCACAGGTCCTCCGTCGATCTTCAGCTGCGCGAACAGCACAGCTGGAAAGCCGTGTGCGCATCCATGCCCGGCTATGTTAAGTGCTGCTCCGCTTACAACGAACGCCTGGAATATTGAACAAAAAATCTTTGTTATTAGTGATAACTCAGTTGTGGTCTTTATTATACGGGTTGCACAGCGGCAATAAATAAAAATCTAAACATATATAACTCAAAGGTGACTGACATAGTGATCTATCAACGCACAGCCCAAACCACTGGATGGATTGGGCTGAAATTTGGCATGCAGGTAGATGTTATGACGTAGGCATCTGCTAAGAATGGATTGTGATTATTTCTACCCCCAAGGGGATGAAACTTTGTATGAAACTGTCAATTTTAAACCGATCGGGCTGAGATGTATTAAGCTACTATGACGTAGGCATCCCCTAAGAAAGAATTTTGATAAATGCCACCCCTAAGAGGATGAAAGTTTGTATAATACTTCTTAGATTTTCGACTGATTGAACTGAAATTAAAGATTGGGAGCTATTATGTTGAAGACGTTCGCTTAAATAGGACTGATAAATTAAACCCCCATGGGGATAAAATAAGAGACGATGCAGGATGTAAATGTTTGGAACCTATCAGGTAATGGAACGAATAAATTAAGACGAACAAAATAATTTTTAGTTCTTTAGGCTACTTTTATTTTAGAAAAATAAACTTAAATTCCACGCGGACGAAGTCGTGGGAACAGCTAGTGTATATATACCAATTTGATAAAAGTAATAAACATTACATGTTAAACAACAAAAAAAACAAAATTTCAACATTTATATCCTATCTAATATATATGAGATTTAGAATAACGTTTATATCAGAAAAAAATTGTAGTTTCAAATTAACACCTTTGTTCGGGTTGTACCGAAACTATAAAGATTCTGATAGGTAAAACTGATAAATGATACTGATAGAAACTTGATTAAAACTGTATATTGAAACTTAACTATAACTGATTAATGATTGTAATGAGTACGCGCGGCGTCCTTGATGACCGAATGCGAACTGATTTTAATGAAATGTGAAATGTAAAATAAAATGTTAATGTTGCGAAATAATGTACGATGCTAGCTCGTACAACCTTTTTCGCTTAATGCATATAAAAAATAAGTCTGTCTGTTTGTTCTTACTAATATCTAAAACGGCTGGACTTTGGAAAACGATTTTAGCAGAACTTTCACTCGCAGAGCTAATGTTAGTAATAGATTAGGGCACTCCTATTTTAGAAATTTTACTTATCTTAATAAAAAAAAGAATTCCACGCGCCGAAGGTTATAGCACAGATAACATAATATTAGATATTTATAGGCACCAGATATAGGCGTGAGGATCTCAGGGTTTGTATGATGTGAGTTAGTTCCTCTTATGGAAAGCTGTTTTATTTAGTAAAATACACAAAACTTTATGTCGTCAAATTGCGTGTGTCTTAAGCAACTGCAAAAATAGCGGACGGGTTGGCGGCAACGAGGGGTCCAGAGTGGTCGGCCTGTTACTACACTGGCAGCATTCTTGAATTCTGCCAACTCGAGTTGGAATAATACAACTGGTAATAAACGAATCAAGTGAAAGAGCGAGAACATGATTCGGGCGTCGAACTGATAATGACATGAAATTTTCCAATCATTTCATATGAGGTTGCTATCATTTTTTTCCCATATTCGTCCGGTTACGTTATCATTAAAATGATTAAATTAACGGTTGCCAGTTGTCATTTCTTTGTTATTTTTAACGCCTAGTATTATTTTTTATACCACGTAGGTGGCAAACAAGCATATGACCCATCTGATGGTAAACGGTTACAATAGTATATTTTTATTTATGGCATAAGAGAAAATTCTTTGTTTTTTTCGAATCGCCAGTGAGTAAAAGTGTAAAATGTAAAAAATGCTCGGATTTATTTTAAATATGTAGAAAATACGAGCTCGTTCTCTGAATCATATTAAAAAATAGCACTCAAATAGGAGAAGTTGACCTGCAGTCATGCTTGTGCTTCATAAGTCCTTCCGCGGTTTTGTCGTGTCATTTCTACTCACCCCCTATGGTTCGCTAAACCTTTCAAGGCCAGCTGCGACTTAAAACATTAAACTTGTTCGAAAAATTAAAAAAAACTATATTCTCAAGTTACCTGAATTTCAACTCGAGTTAACTCGAGTCATGTTTATTACGAGTTAGCACATCTCTAGTATATTGTTTGTAGTGATTGCCACAAGTAGACGGCCTCGGTGGTCTAGTGATTTAGCACACCGCTTTACTATCCGATGGTCGTGGGTTCGATTCCTCGCACGGTACAAACATTTGTATTCAGAGAACAAGATTCAGAGAACAAGTCCCGCGCGCGGCCCATTAAACATCATTTTTGAGCAGCTCCACGGTCAAAAATCAATAACTTTGGACCTTGAAGAGCTAGAAACGTGCTGAAAACACCAAACGGTGCGTTTTAATGCCCTCTACGCAAGGGTATCATCAAAAGTTGGATCGCGTGTGGTGTCATCAATCTATCATTAAAATTCGATCATAACCTAAAAGTGCAGTACAGTGTTGGTGGGAAAAAGTGCAATTTCTCCCTGGGGAGATCTGCGACCAACATAAGTAACTCAGCCAAAATGTGTGTTTAGATAAGGTCCATCATCTGAAAAATTTTCGGGATAAATTTATCCCGAAATTTACCGAATTATAAGCAAAAAACCGAAAACCACGTGGCCACGAGGTCATAGATATAGCAGAAGGAGAGCTCAACGGGGAGAACGCCAAGTAAGTCCACCTCACTCTAAGAATATTGGCACTTTTAGATTTAAAAAATACCAACTAAATCAGGAGATATATAATTAAACGTAAAAACCTGGAACACAGCCAGAAAACCCAGAAGTTCACAGTTCGCGAGGAAAAGGAGGAGATCACTGGAAGCACAGCGATTGATACTATAATTTGGTCTGGAAAGGGAAAGAAGATTAAATATAGGTCAGGCCGTTCCCGAATTATAGAGTGAAGAGTAAAGTTTCGTTCTCGTTGGAATAACTCCTTTTTCTTTCTTCTTTTTTTTTAATTTTCTTTTTTTTTTTTTTAAGTAAAACATCAACTGAAGCCAAGACAACGGAAAACACAGGAGAAAGGGTGAGAACAATGGCCTCTTTGTTGGTTAACGGCAAAAGGGACAATACAAATGTGTCCCGCATCCTAGTGGATGAAGCCCTTATGAACCACTTTGGGGCCATAGTGCTAGCAGCAGAAATGGCCAAAGCAAAAGATGTCCTGCTTATTGGCGACGTAAATCAACTCCCCTTTATAGATAGGCATAACCTATTTGAAATTACCTACGAGCGACCTAACAAATCAGCAGGTATTACTAGGGAGTTTCTATGTACTCACAGAAACCCCTTGGATGTAGCGTATGCCCTGAGAGAAGTATACAACGGGATATACTCGACCAACCTCCGGATTAGGTCGCTGAGGCTCATGGAATACGACAGCAAAGTCATACCATCGGACCAAAGCAGGACTCTATACCTGGTTCATACCCAAGCGGAGAAAGCAAAGCTAATATCCGAGGGATATGGAATGGACGAGGAGTCTAAAGTGCTGACGATTCATGAGGCCCAGGGACTGACATCGGAGAGGGTTATTATCATCAATACTAGAAGTAAACCCTTGGAAGTGCATGGCAGCTACTCTCATGCCGTGGTAGCCATCACCAGGCACACAGGCGACTGCGTATATTATACGAGAAATCGAGAAGACGCAGTTGCTCGTTTTATACAAGAGGCCGAAGGCGCGACTCACTCGGACATTCGTGAGTACTCACTGCAGATGGCGATTAAAAATAGAGACAGGGCGATTGTTGATGCGCTGATTGCGCTAAAATAATCAGCACATAGAAAACCAGAACAGCTAATGCATCATCGGGGCGCTTTGGACTGGAAAGGCCGGAACATGCTCGCTAAAAGTATAAAAAAAAAAAAAAAGAGAAGGGAAAAAGAAGAAAAAAGAAAGGAAAGGAGAAGAGAAGGAGGAAAGGAAAAAAGGGGAAAGGGAAGTGAAAAAGGGAAAAAAAAAAAAAAAAAATTGCCGAATTACGACAAAAAGTGAACTGTGAAATTAAACAATCAATAATTAAACAAAACCTGGACTATAACAAATAGTGAACTTTGAAAATAGTGTTAAAATAAGAATTCATATAATTGTATATGCAGTGTAAGAATTCATAATGTGTATTGTTACATTATGAATTCTTACATTGCACAATGTAATGAAAACTGTGAAATTAGTAGTAGTGTAAGATTTATATAATTGTATATGCATATTGATAAATCTAATCTTCCAAATAAAGATGGGTGACACTGCATGTTGTCAACTCACCCGGCCGGCCAGCGGTGGTTCTGGGCCAGACGGATAAGGTCTGCCTCGGTGTCACTGTTAGGCAAATTGTAACATCTCGGCTGGAGTTGTACAAAAATGGAAATTAAATAAATATTATAATATTAAAGTAAATTAAAAAAGGCACGGACGAATATGTCTGTGGAAAAATGTATTTAAATATAAAAAAAAAAAAAAAACATTTGTATTCATGAGTATGATTGTTGGTATCGGTCTGGGTGTTTTCTATGTATAATATGTATTTATTTACAAAAAAAAATGTATCCATGTATTTATATCAGTTGTCTAGTACCCATAACACAAGCTCTGCTTAGCTTGGGACTAGATGGCGCTGTGTGAATTGTCCTGAGATATTATTATTATTAATGTATATATAAAATAGCGAATGACAGTTTGCGCAATAACTAACACAGGGCAACGTGTGTCGAGTCTGATATTAATAGAAAAAAATGGCTATCAGCTGTATAGTTGCTTAAAATAAACTAAATATAAACTTGAAAATATGCTGGAACGAATTGTGTGATTTTATGAAACAAAAAAACTGCCATGTCACCAATAAGTAACCGATACACGTGTCTGTGACAAAAACCGGTAAAGTACGAGTCGGAATCGATGACGGAGGGTTCCGAACTAATAATTAGAAATAGACATAATCTTTATTCAAATTAGAAATTCTCATTTTTTTATTATTTTTTAAAGAGTCATATGGTCTGTGACCGAAACCGGTAAAATATGATCAGAAATGGAGACTGAGGGTTCCGATTAAATAATTAGAAATAGACCTCATGGTCGACTGGGAGTAAATGCCTTATGGTGTTAAGTCCGCCCTTTGCACCTTTTTTTGTATTTGTGCATTAAAGTTTTAATAAATAAATAAACAAAATAAATAATCTTTATCCAAATTAGAATTTATATTTTTTTAAAGAAACATGTTTTATTCTGCTACTCATTAGGAACGCAGACTTCCTTTGAAGAAAAATAAGTATTAAAAGAACAGAAAATTCTTCATTAAAAAAAAAAAAACTTTTAAATGATCATACTTATATTTATAATATACCACTCATTCGGAAAACTGTCTCCTCACAAGAAGAACGAGCAAGAAACTTGCGTGTTGCTCTTTTAAACAATCGTTCTAATTTCATAGTTGACATCTAAATATATATAACTCAAAGGTGACTGAACATAGTGATCTATCAACGCACAGCCCAAACTACTGGACGAATCGGGCTGAAATATGGTATGCAAATAGATGATACGTTAAGAAAGGATTTTGATTAATTCTATCCCCAAGGAGATAAAATAGGGGATGATAGTTTGTATGAAACTTTGTCAATTTTAAACCTATGGGGCTGAGACTTTGCATGCATAAAGCTACTATGACGTAGGCATCCATTAAGAAAGGATTTTGATAAATTCCACCCCTAAGGGGATAAATTAAAACGTCGCTCGTTTTAATCCGCAGGCAAAAGCTGGTGTGTGTATAAACTGATGTTTTTATCTACATATTATAATTATTTAGCTGTAAGATAATTCACTTAGATACAATATACATAAAAATAAGATTGGAATATCTCGTATTTAAACTAAATATACTTTGAAATGGCTAATAATCGGTGTTGATTTTTACCTCGCACTATCAGGCCGGCTATATACATAATATAAATATCTATATGTATATAACGGGGATAGAAATTACGACAGCCTGGGGTTCGGCGCTCTCAGACTAAAGTCGTATCCGTCAGGCGGGAGTTGGCCTTCAGCTGCTCCATAAGTCCTTTCTTTGGTTTAGAGTGCCATCTGCACTCGCCCGCTATCGTCCGGTGAAGCTATAAAGGCCAGCTGCGGCCATCAGCATTGGAGTAGTCCAGAAAATAAGAATGTAAGTGTAAAGTGAACTACGCAGTCTACACACTTCTAAACAAATAAAAAAAATCAGGTGGTACTTCATCATTATTACCTAGAATTGCATAAAAAAACGACAAGAGCGGTCAAACGGGAGATAAAGTTCTACGTCAATCCAATTAAAATAGGGTTTTATATCGGTAATCTTTTATTTTTCTGTAAGTACATATAGGTATTAAAATGTATTAATACTTAATTACAGTCTTACTTTTACATAAAGATATTTAAGTGCGCACTAATATCCTAAGTCTTTTATTTTCATGCAAGTGCATGTATAGTTTTATTGTTAGTTCTCAATTCGCCGTCAATTACGAACTCGTTTTACAATCTATTTCTCTGATAGAGCCCATTTCAAAGATATTATAAATGTTAAGAGACAGATTAACTGACGTTACAGCAACTATATTAATTGCAAAGTGGGATATCTTCAGTACTGGAATAACTGCCTTTAACGACGTTTTTTTTCATGCTCGATCAGTGCACCCGCGTGGGTCGCTACATACTTGCTGAAATTTGATATAGCTACCCAGGAGATTTGCGCCTGTAGAGCGTGTTTCCTCAATTAATGAAATTTAGCAATAATAATTAATTCCACTCTTTAAATCTGGAGATAGATTTGAGCTAGGCAACTATAGACCAATTTCTATTTTGCCAGTTCTAAGTAAAGTATTTGAAAAGATTATGTTTAACCAAATGTTAAAATACTTCAGGGATAACGGACTGCTTCACAGTCAGCAATATGGTTTCACTGCCGGCAAGTCTACTACTGATGCAGGTGTAGCGCTTATTACACATATATTCGAATCATGGGAAAACTCACAGGATGCTCTCGGCGTTTGTTGTGACTTGTCAAAGGCGTTTGATTGCGTAGATCATGAAACACTTTTGTACAAGCTCAAACATTATGGTATTAGAGATAATGACCTAAGTCTAATGAAAACTTATCTAGAGGATAGGGTGCAAACTGTAGATATTGATGGTGTAAAGTCTAAGGGAACTAATATAAAAATGGGCGTTCCTCAAGGTTCAATATTGGGCCCATTTCTCTTTTTAATTTATATAAATGACCTTCCCTACATGGTACAGAAAGTTGCAGATATAGTGTTATTTGCGGATGATACTTCGTTAGTATTTAAAATTGGTCGCCAATGTAATCAATTAGACGATGTAAATTATGCTATCTCTGCTATACTAAATTGGTTCACATGTAATAATCTATTATTGAACTCCAACAAAACTAAGTGCATTAAATTCACGCTGCCTAATGTAAAACAAGTAAATACGCAGCTATTGCTTAATGATGAAATAGTAAATTTTGTTAATGATACAGTTTTTTTAGGAATAACAGTGGACTCGAAGTTACAATGGGGGCCCCATATTTCAAAATTAGCCAGTAGACTTAGTTCTGCTGCTTATGCAATTAGAAGGATAAGGCAATTAACAGACGTGGCGACGGCAAAACTTGTATATTTTAGTTATTTCCATAGCATTATGTCATATGGCATACTGCTATGGGGTAAAGCTGCCGATATAAATACTATATTTATTTTACAAAAAAGAGCCATACGTTCTATTTATGGTATGGGTTCTAGAGAGTCATTACGTCAATGCTTTAAACAATCAAATATCCTCACCGTTGCCTCACAGTACATTTATGAAAATATTATGTATACAAGGAAAAACTTAGATAGTTTCAAGAAACTTAAAGACTGTACAAGTAGAAACTTACGCAATAAAAATAAGCTAATTTTACCTAAATGCCGTCTACACAAAGTTAGTAATTCATTTTATGGTAATTGCGTAAGATTCTATAATAAACTGCCAGAGTCTACGCTAAATCTTACAGAGAGGCAATTCAAATCTTATATTAAACAAATGTTATGTAAAAAAGCCTATTATAAGATAGATGAATTTATAGATGATAGCAATATATAGCAAGAATAAGTTTATTTGCGGACAACGTTATAATTTTAATTTTCATACTGCTTTCTTGATATATGATAGCGTAGCGGCTTTTGTATTGATTGCCGCATGCATCCTTATGTAAAGTGCGAATACTGTAACTACCATATAGTAATTTTTGTAGCTGTGACGTGGTCGTGTGGAATGAGTAGTCATGCTCACTAAAATGTCCAGACATGTGGCGGCGTGGTGGGCCGGGTCAATGGGCTCCCTAAAATATGGTCGAGCGCAGTGATGGCTGGCTCATCCGTCATACTCGTGAACGAGTGCTGCTTGTAGGGACTGGTCTGCTCTTATCACTACGACTGATTTAATCTTATTGCATATTTATATTTGACCCAAAAATTAGTGCTTGTTGGTAGTTTGTATTCACACGTTTCGACTTGTAAATGTAAACTTACAAGGATTATTTAAAAGAGCAACACACAAGTTTCTTGCTCGTTCTTCTTGTGATGAGACAGCTTTCCGAACGAGTGGTAGATAAAAAACAAATTGTTATGACTATTCAAAAGTGCTTAAATTAAGTTTATTTGAATAAATGATTTTCTATTCTATTCTATTCTAATGAGAAAATATTTCAGGTAAGCATAGAATTTCAATGCTATACCTAAAAATGTAGCGATGACTTGCTTTGTGCCATAATAAATTAGAGATATTGGGAGTCTTTTTGCAATAAAACTTACTAATCTTACAGGTCTATATTAAGGTAATCAATGAGTAGGATTTGTCTGTCACTACATTCTCCCTGAGTGAATTTGGAAAACTAAAAGCTGAGTTCCTTGTTAGGTCTTCTTAAGTCTACGTCAAAAGCACTTCGAACTGACGGTAGATTTGATTAAGAGTAAAGACGTAATAGTCTGTAATAGACCTAAATAAATAAGATATTTCGAATTGGATGTAGTGTAATTAAAACAAATACCTAATGGTAGATTTGACATACCATAAGGTCTGTGATAGACGTAATGAATAAAGATATTTTGATTTGATTATTTTGTATAATTAAAAAAAATTACCTGTTTTATAAACGGCTTCATCGCCTCGCTTCGACCTGCAGCCCAGCGGGTACCTGTAACGTTAATGATGATAATTACACTATTTTATCACCTAGTCTATGGAAATTAATACAACAGTTTACTAACTAAGCTATTGTTTACAAACCACAGTTTGTTTTTCTTATACTTGGCATATTTAGTAACAAAAAGGTAATTATAATCCAACCTCTTTGTTTATAATACGTTTCATAAATTTATTGGTAAGTTGGAGGTTGTTAGATGTCGCTAGTAAGTTAGATCGTCCTCCACACGGTCGCACCTGGTAACTGTTGTAGTTCAGGTCTGGTGAATTCACCTATGTGGGGTACTTGACCTGGATTCATGCTCATCATATCATGTTCCCTAGCAGCGAAATGTTCACGCACAAAAAAAAACCCAGTTGTACAGGACTCCTTACAATCAGGCCGCTGATTGGCACGACAATTCATATTTTTGAATTCTTATATTTTAGACGAATATTGCCATTTTGTTGCTTTATGGTTTGTTGTTGTTTTATGGTTTTGTCATTCCTTTATTGCTCTTGCCTCTTGCTTTCATACTAGTTTTGTTACGACATACATTTCTATAATATACTATTATACATTCATATTGCACCTGTAATTAGCATCACCGTTGGCTGCACCGACCTCAGTCCCACACACCAGCTATAGCGAAGCAATAGTGGGTTATCACTTTGAATAGTATATTTGGGTGTATGCTTATCTATTTCTCATGGTTTTTAATGATTGTTATTACGAGGATTGCATGGTGATCGACCTGTTTTTTTTTAATTGATGATAATCGTACGGTGCTCCTGTCTGCGCTAACGGTTTACGCTGGCGGGGCACCAGTGGACAATGATAAGATGAGTATGAGATCTGGTCAGTTACCATACCATGGCAAATTCAACATTAATTTAACATGACGTTTTTTAGGAGGAACCGCGTGGAGGTCACTCTGGTACATTGCTAGCTATGGGGTCATTGATTCATCATTACCAACAATCCTCTCACCAATTCAATACGCAGGTAGTTACTTTCAAATACAAATGTCCCTGAAACATAACTACTTACTACGAAAAGTAATATAAAAAAAATACATTTAGGTTGGTCTAAAAAACGTTAATCGAAGGGCGTCGTCTGACAATAGATCTGTAATTAGACTGGGTACCTACTCTCCTGAATACGCGTAAAGTGTAGTTTTTTCCTCATTTATCAAGGTTCCGTAATCACTTATGAATAAGCTAGATGTACTCTCGACTTCCTCCGCGTGGAATTTAACTTTATTTTTCTAAAATAAAAGTTGCCTAAGTTACTCCTTATTACATCAGCTACCTGCCAATAAAAGTCCCGTCAAAATCGGTCTAGCCATTTCAGAGCCGGAACAAACAGACATACAAAAATTTCAAAAAATGTTATTTTGGTCTATGATCCGTATTTATGTTCATATGCATGTAGTAAAAAACTGTTACTTCAATATTACAAGACGCTCCAATTTTATTTATATGTGTAGATGTATAGATTAACATTACCAAATTTTATAAGAGGTATCAAGTCAGGTACGCAAAAAGTTTTTTGACGCGCCATTTTTTCCTATATTACTATCAAAAGAGAGCGGATTTTTTTAAGAGGAAAGTAAATTGAATTCCTGCACTATTATTTAATTAATTGTTGTTTTGCGATAGTTCACTTCATTACTTAATGGATTTGTATTATTTTGTTTAATTCCGCTAACTTTATCATGTGTGAGACCACATATATTCAGTGCGGAAACCTGACCACCGCTACTGGATGCGTTACGACCATCTCTATTGGTGATCAAATTCAGACCGTTATTGAGTCTACACCTATATTGCCCCCTCCGATCGATACCCCGTCCAATTCAAATTGGGATCCAAATTACGACGGCCTGAGCCGAGGTTCGAACCCCTAGTGGTGCCCTCAGACTGAAGTCATATCCGTCAGGCGGGAGTTGGCCTTCAGCCGCTCCATAAGTCCTTCCGCGGGTTTGGAGTGGCATCTGCACTCGCCCCTAACGTCCGGTGAAGCTGTAAAGGCCAGCTACGGCCAACAGCATTAGAGTAGTCCGAAAAAAAAAACCTTTATCGCGACACGTGTTTTGCCTCTGAACGAGACATCATCTGCATTGAATAGAGTTGGGATATAGCTTGGAAGCCTAGCGTCGAGTGTTTGGCGATCAAACTGCGAATATTTGTGGTCTCACACGGAATTAAAAAATATATATATATAAATCCATTTAATATTGAAAAAACCTAAAATAAAGAAAAAAATATACTTTTATTCGATATACAGAAAAATATAAAAAGTTTAAAGAGATTTTATTCCACAGACTATATATTTTTTCTTAATCAAACTCAAAATATATTTATTTATGTAGGTCTATTACAGACTCTTATGATGTGTCAAAAACTAGGTCAGTTCGCAGAGTATTCGAGCTAAGAAGAACTAACATGAAACTCAGCTATTATTCTTTTGAAATTTGCTGGTACATGTTTACATAAATCCAGATTCATTTTTAAATTTGGAAGAATTGAGTGACCACCATGTGCTATTGCAATTTTGAAAAATAGGAAATACTCTATCAGTGTTCGTAACCCGAACAGACCACTCACCACAAGCAGCACCTGTTCACGAGTATGACGGATGTAAAAATCTTCCATATGTCAACATAATGTTCGTAAGCGTTTACCTGATGGTAAACTCGTCACTTCAGCGCGTTTGCCATTGAATAAAAAAATATGTGCATTTAGAAAATAGACTAATAGCAATAGTCACACTCTATAACTCTAAATTCTATTGCAATTTTGTTAAAAGGAATCGATCATAAAGGGAATGGTGCACTCTCCTGCGCTTACGGTATACGCTGGCGGTACACTAGTAATAATAATCTCAGGACAATTCACACAGCGCCATCTAGTCCCAAGTTACTCTAGCTAAATTTATGGGTGCTTGTGTTATGGGTACTAATACAAATACATAGATATATATTATTTTTTGTAAATACATACATATTATACACAGTAAACAACAAAACCTATGCAAACGACTCCTGAATACAAATGATTGTGCCGTGCGAGGAATCGAACCCGCGAACCATCGGAAGTAAGGCGGTGTGCTAAACCGCTATACCGGGGTCGTCAAACTAGTATAAACCTATCGAACCTATAAATTAAAAAAAACTCAGTATCGTGGTAACCACAGTATTTGATATAACTTCGGCAAACCCATATTATGTATATATAAAAATAACATAATATATATAAAAACATATTCGATTTGTTATAAATGTTTCCAACATCACAAAATATAAAATACCTAAAAGTTTTTTGCGTCGCCACGTTTGGCCAGATTCGAACTCTGCGTATACTCCTCTAGAACAGAACCTACATAACATATGTTTATTTATTGCATCAAATTCATAACAATAAAATAAAATAGTAAATTTGAGTTAACCGATACAAACAGCAGTCTTATCTCTAAGCAATCTCTTCCAGACTACCTTTGGGTGCATAGAGAAAGTAAAGATAAGAAAAGGGTAGGTGGCGCGCTAAAATAACAAAAACAAAAACATTTCTTTTTGTTATTTTATCTTTTATTTTTATTATATACTCGAGGGGAGTGGTCTGTTCGGGTTACGAACCCTGATTATAGTATTTCCTATTTTCCAAAATTGCAATAGGACTTATTGGTGGTCATTATATTCTCCGAAATATGAATTTAAAAATGAATCTGTATTATTGTAAACAATATTTGAAAAGAATACGAGCTGAGTTTCTTGTCAGCTCTTCTCATCTCGAAATCATTCCGAACTGACGGTAGATTTGACATATCATAAGAGTCTGTAATAGACCTACATGAATAAAGATATTTTGATTTTGATCCTGATCTACATTTGTCAGAAATTTCAGGAAAATCTTTAGAACAATAACTCATTATATCAGACATTTGAATGACTTTATGACTCGATATCACTCGGTTGTGGGTTCGATTCCCACTTATACTAATATACCAAAATGTATCTGTCTATCTGTTTGTACTTTTCACTAATAAGGGATCTGACTGAACGAATTTTAAGGAAATTTAGCGTAAAGATAGATAGATATATCTTATCTATCATTTATTTAAAAAATCAGACGTATTCGCGAGTAAGAGATTATATTTTGTGTCGATTTCTAAGATTATATTATTAATGGGAAGCCTCGAATAAATTTTTTTTTTTAGAAAAAGTATAGAAAATTTTCCTATGTTTTATGTTATAGGTACAATTGTGGCATTAAATTTATAAATTATTATTTATAGTGATTTGAAGATCCCATAATCATTTGCATATGATAATTGTCTTTCTAAATTAATAATATGTGTTATTTTATTGGAATATTCATTTGAATTTTAATAAATATGTTTTTAAATAAAAAAAAAAAAACTTAACTAATTTTAATTAAAATTTTTAACATATAAATACTTTCTTTTCAGCAGCTTAGTCGTTAAAAGCTAATAAATAGACATACAGACGATTTATTTTCGTATTTATATTATTTGTGTATATAGAAGAATAATATAGGGTTTATTTTATCTATAAAACATAAGACATCCGTGCAATATTTACAGCTATGCGAAGTCTAATATGATATAAAGAAATTCTTTGGCCTGCATAAAAATATTAAAAAAAAAACAAACGTACTTAGCCAAGCCTCACCCACACAAATCAAATTAAAAACTCAACACTTTCAGATCCCGCGTTACACACAACTACAGACCATAGACTAAACCAATTGCCAGTCGAGTCCACAGTTTTAAACATCGAATTTTTTTATATTTTTTTTCTCATTACTCGATTTGAACAAATCCTTGGCATTGAAATACAGATATTTCCAATGTATATGCCTGTGAAATGTACGAATTGCTTCGATAAGTATAGCTCAAATTAATTTGGCGATTAAATTGACATAGTCGCACGTAATGAGTTAGGGGAAATGAAATGTTTTATTAAATATCATTGAATGTCTTACGAGGAA